TTCATATTTTTTGGATTTGCATATACAGGGTGATTCAAGAAAATAAATTAAAGCGTAAATTTATTTTACTGATTTACTCAGGAACTACAAAACCGAATGCTTCGAAATCTTGAAGATATTTTAAAATTATCATAAGCATGGTAAATTTTTGATCAAAATGTATTTGGTCGTCCCCCCTAAAAAATTTATGACGTCACCACAAAATTTTGCTGAATAAATCCTATCTAAAATGTACAAAATATGGTGAGTCTCTTCTTGTGATTTATCATTCCATTCAAATTTTTTCGATTTGCATATACAGGGTGACTCAAAAAAATTAATGAATGCGTAAATTTATTTTATTGATTTAATCAGGAACTACAAAACCGAATGCTTTGAAATCTTGCAGATGTTTTAAGGTTATAAAGAGCATAATAAATTTTTAGTCAAAATATATTTGGTTATCTTCTACAAAAAACTGATGACGTCAGCTCAAAAGTTTCCCGAATAAATCGTATCTAAAATGTACAAATTATGATGAGTCTGTACTTGTGATTTATCATTCCATTCATATTTTTGGATTTGCATATGCAGGGTGACTCAAAAAAATTAATGAAGGCGTGAATTTATTTTATCGATTTAATCAGGAATTACAAAACCGAATGCTTTGAAATCTTGGGAATATTTTAAAGTTATTATAAGCATGGTAAACTTTTGTTCAAAATGTATTTGTTCATCCCTCCTAAAAAAATTGATGACGTCACCCTTAAATTTTGATGAATGAATCCTATCTAAAATGCAAAAAATATGATGAGTTTGTACTTGTGATTTATCATTCCATTCATATTTTTTAGATTTTCTTAAGAGGTGGTTCAAAAAAATTAATGAAGTCAATTTATTTTATTGATTAAATTAAAGGCAACACTTATTATTAGTATTACACCCCAACCAACCCAATTTGGTAGACACAAAATTTGTTAAAGGAAAAACTCGGTTGAAACATAAGGGTAGCACGCTTATTTACATCGACTTTAACATTACAGACCTGCATTTGTTTTATGCGTTCACTTGATTCCGCGAATGTGAAATAGACATGTTTATAATCAACCAATTGTGAATTTCACCGTCAAGAATTAAAATAAAACCCAATCTTTTATATAATAAGCGGAAGTCGAAGCAATAAAACCGATGGTCGTTTTGTTTACAGTTTCTCTGTTTGACTCTCACGTATGCTGTTACGCTTGTCATCTTAAATTAAGAATGTTTATACATAAACGATTTTCAGTTGCCGTATACGTGAGTAAATTGTTTCGTTATTTTATTGATTATATAAAATCAATATTCAAAACGACCCAATTCATTTTCCCGAAAATTTGGGAATACAATAATTTTATTCTTAGTATTACACTACATCTATCCCAACTGATATACGTGTCCTTGCAAAAATGTTGACGTCATCGCAATTTTTTTTAAATTCCCACTACAAAAATGTAATGAGAAAAAAACACAATAGCCATGCAGTCGTCAAGTTTCCGACAGCGAGGGAAGTACTGTCTAAACTCTTTAGACCAATTTTTTTAAATAACAATTGCAACTGTTAAATTAAAAATTTATAGATTTATCATAATCACTGAAATCCTGAAGAAACTCTCGTCACAGTTTTAAGTGAAAAAAGTACATATTATTTTCATTACGTTTGATAGTTTAAAAAAATTGATCGAAAGTTGTTTCAACAGAACTTCCCTCGCTCCTGAAGTAGAATGAAACATAAAAATAAACACCCAATCAGATTTTGGAATTTAACTCGTTACTATGGAAATTTGCAATTTAACACCTTTTAAATTTAACAAGTTTTTACAAGATTAACAGACGCAAAATAAGTACTATCTTAGCAAGTACTAGCCCCGTTCACCTGCGCTCTATTTTCTTAAAAGTTTGTTACCTCTTTTTTTGTGGCACCGCCCGGAGCTCCTTTTCCAGGATATCGTAAAACTCATTCTCTCTTTTTTCCATCACCGATACTTTGCGTTATGCTGTGAGAAACAAGAACAACAAAACGCTATCTCATTTTAACTAAAGCGGATGTGCGAGGGAGAAAACACATAGCTCCGCCTGTCGGAGTGAAACCCGAAATTTGACAGAGGTTCTCAAACGGTTATGTTTTGTTGCAGGCAAAATGCAAAATCGAATAAACAGTTTCCACCGTCCACTTGGACAATCTTAATGCGTTTTCCCATTAGTAAGGTATTCTGAAAATTAAACATAACACTAACTTAAAATTTACATTTCATCTGTTTCATTAAACATCTCCTTTTCAAGTCCAACAAAACAGAATTTTTTGTTTGAGAATTTCTGCTTTGTGCGCACATTCCGGTAGATCTTTAGGACCGCCCCTAAAATGCTGGCCAATACGTATCATCTCAACCGCAATGAGAGAAAGTGAGACAAAAATAGTAACGTTTGAAAAGTATTATTTGTTACGGTTTTACAAGACTATGGAATTCTTATAACAAATAGACTTTACGTAGGCTTTACCGGCAAGAAAACGCTGAGGCTTGGTAGGGGCTTATATTAAAATTCAAAGACAACTATGTCTACTCTATGGTTAGTACTTGGCGCGGCTTCCTAACTAACATCAACAACCTTTACAAACATCCATAAATAACAGCGGAACAATACTTCTTACTAACTTTACAATAAACAAACTGGGCGCCACCAAGTTGCTAAACTAAACCCCAACTTGGAAGGGCTACGCTAAACTGGACCACACGTAGGTTGACTAAAAAAAAAAATAACAAACTAAATTAAAGTTGACCAACAGTCTGACCCGATGGAGGTAGAGATACAGTGCTTAGCTGATAAAAAAAATGCCGACAAAAATCGTAAGCAAAATGGCGCAAGCGATAACGTCGTTGGATCACGATAAGGCGCGAGCAAGGCCGCAAAAGACAATAAAAAAAAATCAACTATGAAGTTTGGGTGTACTTATCTGGCAGCAACACCCAGCCTGAAGATTTCTTCGATGTCAACCACTCCAGGTCTCTCTCTCCGGAAAGTACAGTGCTCCAGGGACGTCTTTCTCGCTTCTTTTCTCCTGCGCTTCCGTACTCTGACTCCTCGCCTACTGGTGTCGGCTCCTCACCCTACCGGGCGTCCCTACATATGGAATAATCAACTCCATGTGGTGGCATAATTTGAATTTACCTTTTCGAAGAGAATAACTCAGCTTCTGCGGCCGCCGCAAACCAACAACCTGAAAACAATGGTTCTACCACCACCCCGGAACCGATAAAGATAACTTAATACCTGAACAGTGCTCCTACGGGTACTATTGCCTCTCCACGGCAAAACGAGGCAGTCTGGCAACGGTACCGACCAAGGGGAGTCCTTCCTGCCGACTATCTGCCGACTCTACAGGACTCAGAGGAATATAAGGAACCACCACAAATTTCCTTGTCCTCACTCTTTCGTAGTACCTTTCCAACTCCTTATTTTAAAAAGCCGTAGTGCTTTAACCACCGAATTCAAAATCACTAGGAAAAAATAGAGTCAATAGTTTCGACTCAGTTATCAAAATGATGTGAGATAGTGTTATTATTAATTACTATTCCTTGGATAAATTCTTATCCCATGTCCACAGCGGGGGTTAAAAAAGTACCGTTGTTTATCCCTAATTTTATCTATTCCGTAGTTATCCTATGATTGTAAAATCGCTATCCGACGTTTATCCAAGGAACAGAGTTATCCTTGGTTTATTCCTGGTTGGTAAAAGCGGGCCTAAGTCATTAATTTTTTTCACACACCCCGTATAAACAAATCTGAAAAATATGCAGTGATAACTCACAATTATAACTCGAACCATCATACTTTGCACAGTGCACATTTAAGATATCATTTTTTCGGAAAAATGTTGGGGTGGTGTGATCAATTTTTTAGAGGGGGGGGATGAGCAAATATATTTTACCATGCCTATAATAACTTTAAAACATCTCCAAGATTTCAAAGCATTTGGTTTTGTAGTTGCTGATTAAATCAATAAAATAAAGTTACGCATTCCATAATTTTTTTGAGTGATCCTGTATATGCAAATCGAAAAAAATATGAATGGAATGATAAATCACAAGTATTGTCTCATCATACTTTGCACATTTAAGACAGGATTTATTCAGCAAAATTTTGAGATGACGTCATCAATTTTTTGGAGGGGACAAGTAAATATATTTTGAATAAAAACTTACCATGCTTATCATAAATGTAAACCATCTGCAAGATTTCAAAGTATTCTGTTTTGCAGATTCCAAATTAAATGTCAAAATGTTGTTTCCTAGTTTTGATTTTATTTCCAAAAATATGGATGTTTTGGGTAAAATCTCAATTTAGAGTCATAAACTATAAGTGTGAGACTATGTTATTTGATACAATTTAAAACCCATTTCCTATGTACAATTTTGTCACGTCGTCACATTAGTGGTGGGGATGATGAAACAAATTTTGGTTAACGTTTTATCATCTACATGATTGATATACCTAGTATAAATACAAAATTTGACAACAATCGGCCCAATACTTTCGGAGATTATCTGTCTAATAAAAATCCACGATGGTAGACAGACGGACAGACGGACAGACAGACGGACTGACAGACAGAAACGGGAGACCTATTTCTTCGTCCTTTAGGGGTCATGATAGGTTGGGAAAATGCAAAAGTAGAGGTGGTGTCAAGTTAGAAAAATCGGTTCTGCACTGTTTCTTTTATTGTGAATGTTGTTACATAATTCAGAATAACGAAATAAAGACCGGATAGTGTCCATTTGGTTCCAAATACATTTGACTTCGTTGTCTAATTGCATAATCAATATTTTGTAGAATGTAAGGATTCGAGTTGATTTCGTAAATATTTGCAGTAATCCTTTGCCTTAATTCGTTTATGTTGTCAATGGGAGTACGGTAAATTGAGTTTTTATGATATTGTCACGTCCAAAACTCAATTTCCCAGGAAACCCTAATTTTAAACTCCCAAATAAAATTTTAAATTAGATTTATTACATAAAACGGTACTTACATGGTTCCGGGGTCTAGTTGTTGCGATGATGGTCACCGACTAACTCCTCGTTTCGGGTTCTCGTTCGAGTCAGGAAACCATCTCCTGCTAGAATAGCAATTTTCCTCACTTATCTTAGTTCGATCACATTTCCTTTCTAGCAAGACAATGGTCTCCCGTCTCCAAATACCACCATCGCATGATTCGAGAGGAAGCGAGGCGTCATGACTTCGTAACTAAGAATTATAAAATATTTGTCTTCATGACACTTCTCTTCCCCCCTAATTTTATCCGGACCCACGGATAAAGAAACAAAACAAGAATTTCATATAAACAACAGAGATACATTCAGTTCCAACATGGTTAAACTTTTACATAGCAAAGAAATAATTATAGAAAATAATATACACATACAAAAACATAACAAAAATTGAATCGAAAACAGTAGGTTCCATGATAAACAAAGTGTCAAAATTTAAAAATTGCAATCACAAAAAAAATGAGACTCAAATGAGAATTATAAACATAAACACTCCGATTCACTCCCGCATTAACAAGTAGTTGAAGAAAAGGGCACTGTTCAGTTCATCTAAAGATGTGCAACCGCAAAGAAAACTTTTCACTTCATTGTTCTCACATATTCGAAGTCAGCACAAGTAGTCCTGGAATGGCCAGTAATGTTCTCGGTTCCCAGTCACATAAGTTGGCGTGAAGTAGTATCCCGCAAAGGTGATGAAAATGTGGAAATTTGTGGCACCACATGGCTACGCGGGTGTACACGCAGCACTTGGCCACTAAGACATCGCTGGGCGTAGGACTAACCCAGATTCTCCTTAGGGTGCGGTGTTTAGTGTTAATACTGGTGTAAATAATGCATCGTTGTTGGTGGACTGGACAGTGGTGAGAAATAAAAGATGTGCCATTAGAGGGTGCTATGCTGCATAGTGCGTTCAGGGTGGTTCTGAGGTTGCACGTCTGATGTAGGCTCATTTGCATACGGTCGAGTGGAGTGAACCGGTTTGTTCGCGTACTCTATCCGTCACAGTTGAACATAAAAAACAAAAACTCTAAGTAAAACGAAAATAAGGTAACTATATAAAACATTTTAACTGAACTTAAGAATAAGAACATATGAAATAAATAACTAAAAATACATGGAGTGGTAAGGTTGCTTCATAATTTATAACCTCGGGTACTTCTTTTCAAAAAGCACCAGTAGTGACTTCTAGCTGCGCCCTCAGTTGTGCGGTACACAGAAAAATTAAAATAATTGGCATCCACCTACGACAAAAACAGTTGAAAAATCAAAAATTTGCAAAATATGCTTAAATATGCAACTATTTGTACTATACTAAACATTTATTAACGGGGCCAGTCTATTAACTTCAGGTGAGATTTTATTACTGTTTATAGTAGAGTTAACTGTAGAGTGAATAATCGCTGTATTATATATATTTGACTTGTCTGTTTCACATAAACTGCCGTTTTGAAGTAAAAATATATTAATAACCGTATCCTGAGAAATATATTCTAGAATTTGATATATTTGAGAAAATGGTAAATTTGGAAAGCTAATTTTTTCAAGATAAAATTCAGAACACCCAGCGGTTAGTAAGCATTTTTTCAGTTTAAGAATGCCAGAATGACAATTCTCTTACGGGCTTTATTAAATAAAAAATATGAATTCCTTTATTTTCGAATTTTATTAATTCTGGGGAAATATTTGGATTTTTATCGATGATACAATATACAACGGGACACAGAAGTTTGTCGAGATTTGGTGTTTTGTCAACGGTGATATAAGCTTTGGTAATGACGGTATCTGATTTAAAATTCGAATTTTTGTAAGTTTCGAAACCAAGACAAGGCGATACAGATATATTTGTATCTACGCGGGTATCATTAGTTTCAAGAACGCAAGGCCTTTTTTGAGGAAGACAGCACACTATAATTTCTATATCTATCCCTTGAAACAGAAATTGGATCATATATTTAACTCTATGCCAGTCTAGACGATCGAGACCACAACCTATACGTGGCATTGCCATTTGGCTCCATTTTTGATAATGTGTTTTGGAGTTTTAACTCTTTCTTGTCGTATTATAAAACACGTATACGCGCCGGAATAGGATGTCGAGTTCCAGTTACGAGCTTGGTGTCGGTGTCGATGTCGAGGTCACGGAGACTGGTCTGATCCTAGTCTGAACGTCGGCATCTAACGCGACGCGCGCAAAGAGTATGTACATGAAACGCCTCATAAAGCCCTTCTCTTAGCACCCCCAGGATGCTCTAATTGGTGCTGATTCCGTCTGTTAGCACCCCCAGGATGTTCTAAGAAAACAGAACCTACACCCACTGCCAGAATTCAAAGAGTATCTAGACCACAACGATCCTCAAAATACAGAAGTGATGCACAGCTAACTCTCGGAACTTCGTCTAAGTGCTCGACGAATTATTCTTGCATGAAGGTATATTGCGGTCAGGCTATTAGTGCGCGTAGCGCCTCCTGTTCGAAGCGGTGGCAACTAGCTACTCAAGCGACAACCGCGGAGTAGCGTGGGCGTGATCGAGAGGGCGCTACGGTCCATGTTACAACTATTTAATAAAATGTTTTCGTTTAACCAGAGATAATAGAGGTACGGCAGCTTTTGAATTCTCCATAAGAAATGCATGGGAATGAAGCGAACATAGAATGTGACATAAAGGACCGTTGGGGGCGCAACATTTGCGGTGGTAAACCTGAATGTCCTAATGTGTATGTTAAATGTTACTAAATAATTCTACCAAATTTGTGGCGAAAACATCGAGCAATGCCCTGATTCATTTTTAGGTCCTGGGTCACACATGTACCAGGGAATAAGTATTTGGTAATAAAAAGAAGTCTTGAGACTTTTCGATAATTTTGAGTGTTTGCAAAATCGGAGTAACGCAATTGGTGTTGTATTTTATGCTGACTGTTGCGACGAAATTCCGGATGGGACGGGACGGACGGTCCGGTGACGGTCCGGAATCTCGCCGATAACGTATGGGGTGGCGGCGTACTTGGGTGCCAAGCTTTGGGTCGACTAGTATCGCTGATGTCAGTAACACGTCTAGTCGACCAAGCTCATGCGGCTTACCTTCACGCCGCCGGGGGTGGCGCCTTCGGTCAGGAGCGGCGGTCGCTCGGGCGCCAGCTCCCTCTCCGGGGGAGGGAGCGCCGGGGTGCTCTAAAGCCGGAGACACGGAATTCAGGTGATGAGCCGCCGCGAAAACTCGAGAATAATAAATAAAACGGCGAGAATGTGTTATAACAAAATAGGGTTTATTCCCTACCACCAGCTACACGGTCTAAAATAATAAATCTTACGGCTAAACAACTTAAATGACTAACAATTCGATTTTACAAACAAAAAGAATTAATTTAAATGTCCGGCACGGTCGTTCCTCCTGGGCGGCGACTTCCTTCAGGCCGGGCTCCTCGTGGCTCTGGGGGCGGCGACCTTGAACCTGGAAATCGCGCGAAGACGGTACGGCGATCCGGGAGGGGAGCGCGGTGACGGTAACGACGCGTGCACGACGGTGTCGACTTTCGACGGTGACAAAAAAAAACGCGGTGACGGTGACACGGTTTCTCGCTCGGGGGCGGCAATTCCAAAACCGGTACAAAACAGGCAGGCGACCCAAAAAGGTACTTACGGAGGTCGGAGGGTCGAACTGCACACTTAGTCACACTTCTCCAAAAACTTAAAAACAGCCAATTTCGCCACAGCACTTCCGCACTCTTTGGAGTTTCAGGCAAGAGTTCTCTACTTCCGCCGCGGCGGCGCGGCGATCGCCAATTTACCCCCGGCTTTCGCGGTACGCGTCACGGTTTCCGGCCCGCGAAAATTCGCTTCGTTACATTCCCCCCTTTCGTCGGCAAAAAAAAAGGAGTGTAACTTCTTTTTTTTTTCTCTTCGAAGACGGCTTTCCTTCCTGCGCAGCTCTGGTGGACTGAAGTTCCGGTTCAGACGGCGGGGTCCTGGACTCCTTGGGGACGGTGAGTTCGAGTTCAGACGGCAGTGTCCTGGACTCCTTGGTGACGGTGCTGTGGACGGGCTGGCATGGTGGAACTTCAACTTCGGTCGACGGTGTTCAGCCGGTGGAGACGAGGTCCACGCCGATTAGGCTGACGTCTTCTCGGTCTTCGCCGGGATCCGCTGCTGGGCAGGACAGGCTGCTCGACTCCTCTGCATTGACGCGGAGATGACAGAGTGCCGAGGGGCGGCAAAACGGTGGCGCTCTGGACAGCGAGCGGAACTGCAGGGTCGGTGGTGGCTGAACTGCACGTTGGACGGTGGCATCGCATCACTCTTCGGGGAATGTCGATGGCTATGGCGTTGGCGTGCAGGAAGTCCATACCTAAAACCATAGCTGTAGTGAGGGTTGGAAAAACGGCGGCGCGGACTGTCACGGGGACGTCGCCGATTTTCATCTCCAAGTCGTAACTTCCTGCGGATGGGACGATGTCGCCATGGGCCATTTGGATCCGAACCTGGGGGGCTGACACGGGGACAACGTTTCGTTGGCGCAGCACGGTGGCAACTTCCTGGCCAATGAACGTGCTGACGGCTCCGGTGTCCAGGAGGGCGTCGTAGACGGTGCCAAAAAGTGTGACGGCGACATGGGGACGGTTGTCGGGAAACTTGAGCGGAGCTTCCATCAACGGAGTCGGCTTGGATGGCTGCTGCGACGGCTTGGACGGGTGCTGCGACGGCTTCGACATGACGCAGACTTCTCGCTCGTTTCTTCGGTCGCAGGGGCACTCTCGGGACATTATACCGCTTCGGCCGCACCTGGAGCAGAACAGTCGGGCTCGCTTCCTGCAGGCCGAGCGGTAATGTCCGGATTCTCCACACCTCCAACATTTGACGGTGGTTCCGGTGTTGGCGGTGGCGCCTGTGGGCGGCTGAATGGGCCTGGACGACGGTGGTGGGGGATGGATGGTCTCCAGCCTTCGCGGTGGTGCCGTGGGTGGCTGCACGGGCCTGGACGACGGTTGCAGGGTACGGTTTTCAGACCGAGGGGCGTAAGCAAACCTGGCAGCCGGGATCTGGGTCGTCGTCGAAGTGCAATTCGGTGGCGGGACTGGTGGACGGCTGCTCACTTCCTTCTGTAGCTGCTCATACTCATCTGTGAGCCTCACCAACTCCCCGATGGTCTGGAAGTCTCTACGGCGGATGTACTGGCGGTACTCCGGCAGCAGGTGGCTGTACAGGCGACGAACGACGGCCTGTGGAGAATACCCTCCCAGACGGCGGGTGAGGGTTTGCATCGCCTGTATAAAATCCCTGCCGGCTTCTCCAGGTCGTTGGCGACGATTGACGATCTGGTCTTCCAAGACTTCTTCATAATTCGGCATGTAGAAGTCCCGGAACTCCTCGACGAAGTCGTCCCAGGAGTACCAGAGGGCCCGATTGTTACGGTACCACTCCAACGCCTTATCGGTGAACATTTCCGGCAGCACGGTGAGCATCGTGTCCGATGCAATGCCAAAATGCTCCTGGAGCTCTACGGCGCGCTCCAGAAACGCCATGGGGTCGGTCTCTCCGTCGAAGTAAACACGGCTCTTGCGCACTAGGTCCAGGGCTTCCCAACGGGTGTCCCGCGGGTGTGCATAGCACGACTGGACCGAGTGGCAACTTCGACGGGGCTGAGTCGGTGCCGGTGGTGGCACGAGAGACGGGCGCTTCGGTGGTGGCGGTCGAAATTCTCGACTCAGAGACGGCGAAGTTGGTCTTGTGGCTGTCGGTGAGGGCGATGGGGAAAGACGGTGCGGTTCGCTGTACGTCCACGCACTTGGCTCGTCGGGTCGGCTCCTGGGGGCCTCTCCAGAGGCGGGACGAGCAAGTTCCAGCGGGACGGCAGGTCGTGACAGGGCACCTGGGGACTGGACTCGGGGAACGGCACCTGTAGCGCTGGTGGGGGCTGCCCATGGAAACGCCGCTGGCATCACCGGTCGCGAAATCACGGGCGTGGGCACGGCAGGCCTGGTTAGCGCAATGCTCCAGGTCAGCGATGTCGCTGATGCCGAATTTGCCACCACGTACCCGATGGTCGACGTCGATATGGAGGCGTTGGGGCTCGACACGATGACGGTGTCCACGACCTCGTCGGTGACGGTCGGAAGAGACGTGGCCAACTCCTCCAGGTTCATCTCCGTGTCGATTTCGGCCTGGCGACGGAGATGAAAATCCTTCAAACGCCGGCGGAGCGTGTCGACGGAACCAGTGGCGTCGATCCCAATCTCGCGCAGGGCTTCTTCCAGCTCGTGACGCTGCAGCTGGTGCACCCACGTCGCGAGCGGAGCTGGGTGCGGCCGGTCTTGGTCCTCCTTACCCATTCTGTGACGTCACCAATTCTGACGGTGACGGTTGATGGCGTCACGGGACTTGGGGGACAGTGGCGGCGACCACAATACAGCACAAAAAGAAAAAAAAAACAGTAAGATAACGGCGCTTATCTTTTTCGGCAATTTTGCCAAGAAACCAAAAAAAAAAACAGACCGCTCAAAAACGACGGTCCCCCGCTGATAGCGGACAAAAACGTAGCTGGTGGCGGCGGACGACCGGGGGCGGCTCACTTTAGGTCCCTGCTCGGGCGCCAAAATTATGCGACGAAATTCCGGATGGGACGGGACGGACGGTCCGGTGACGGTCCGGAATCTCGCCGATAACGTATGGGGTGGCGGCGTACTTGGGTGCCAAGCTTTGGGTCGACTAGTATCGCTGATGTCAGTAACACGTCTGGTCGACCAAGCTCATGCGGCTACCTTCACGCCGCCGGGGGTGGCGCCTTCGGTCAGGAGCGGCGGTCGCTCAGGCGCCAGCTCCCTCTCCGGGGGAGGGAGCGCCGGGGTGCTCTAAAGCCAGAGACACGGAATTCAGGTGATGAGCCGCCGCGAAAACTCGAGAATAATAAATAAAACGGCGAGAATGTGTTATAACAAAATAGGGTTTATTCCCTACCACCAGCTACACGGTCTAAAATAATAAATCTTACAGCTAAACAACTTAAATGACTAACAATTCGATTTTACAAACAAAAAGAATTAATTTAAATGTCCGGCACGGTCGTTCCTCCTGGGCGGCGACTTCCTTCAGGCCGGGCTCCTCGTGGCTCTGGGGGCGGCGACCTTGAACCTGGAAATCGCGCGAAGACGGTACGGCGATCCGGGAGGGGAGCGCGGTGACGGTAACGACGCGTGCACGACGGTGTCGACTTTCGACGGTGACAAAAAAAAACGCGGTGACGGTGACACGGTTTCTCGCTCGGGGGCGGCGATTCCAAAACCGGTACAAAACAGGCAGGCGACCCAAAAAGGTACTTACGGAGGTCGGAGGGTCGATCTGCACACTTGGTCACACTTCTCCAGAAACTTAAAAACAGCCAATTTCGCCACAGCACTTCCGTACTCTTTGGAGTTTCAGGCAAGAGTTCTCTACTTCCGCCGCGGCGGCGCGGCGATCGCCAATTTACCCCCGGCTTTCGCGGTACGCGTCACGGTTTCCGGCCCGCGAAAATTCGCTTCGTTACACTGTGACAGTTTGATGACTCCCTAGACATTGTATGAGCAACCGGATGTGAATCCGAAACTTGTGTCAATTATATCTTTTGTAATTAATTTCCTATATTTTACGAAAATCTCTGGCCCTGTTAAATTGAAAAAAAAAACGTATTTGTAGTGTGGTCCCAAAACTGTAACTACATCATTTTTCATATCAAGAATTGCTTTATGTTCCTTCAAAAACGACATACCTGGTATAAGAGGGTAATCCAATTTTTCGACAACAGTCAATCATATTTTCGTTCTAGCAAGACAATGCTCTTCCGTCTCCTAATACCACCATCGTATGATTCGAGAAGAAGCGAGGCGTCATGATTTCGCAACTAACAATTATAAAATATTTGTCTTCATGACAATATTGCAGAAGGAAAAATCTTCCGGTGTAAGATCATAAGACCTTGATGCCGCTGTAAGATTCCCTAAAAGTAATTGAACACATTGTAAAGTTAATAATTAAGTATACAAATTAACTACCTTAAAAAAAGGGCCCAAATGCTAACTTTAAGTGCATGTAGAGATGCTTCTCCGTAAACTTGTAGATTTTCAGTATTCCAAATCCGCATCTTTTGTGAGTCAACAAACCCACCGACGTAAAACCATGCCTGGTCGGTAAAAACTGTTTTTTCTAACAATTTGTTACGATTGACGGACGAATAATAAATCGGGTGTTGGTAAAACTCAAAAAATTTATTTCTTCAGGTCGAATTACAACACTATCTATTGCGACGAATATGTACAGAAATTATTCCGGCGCTCTCGACTGTCTTCACTGGATGAATGAATCCATTACCTACGGTCGCCTCTATTTAAACCCATAGTCTCTGATCGAGATCCTTCACGAACATCCATCGCGACTCCGCTTCGAGACTCCCCTGGACGCCGCTTCGAGACGCTCCAGACCTGTCTTTATGCGCCCGCCTCTCGGCCGTCAACAGCGATGATTCACCCATCAGCGCCGTGCGTACGTCCAGAAGGCTCTCGACCGCCATAGGCGTCGTACTGGGGCGGCGTAAGGGTGTATTTCGTAACACTGCCCCCCTCTTCAAATCCGATCGTCCCGATCGGAAGCGTCTTCGTTGTTTCCTTCGTACCGTTTTAGTCGATCGAGATGAACGATCTTCATCCTCGTCTTTGGTCCACGTTGGATCCGATAAACTACGTCATTTATTCTAGTGACGATAGTGTATGGACCTTCCCAGTCAGGAGCCAGTTTTGGGCAACGTCCCTTCTTCCGTCGGGGGTTATACAGCCACACTAAGTCATCTTCCTGGAATCCGCCACAGTTGGCCTTCACATCATAACGGGTCTTCATTCGGTCACTGGCAATCTTGATCCGGCCCCTCACTAGTTCATGCACGTTGACCAACTTCTCTTTCAGTTCGTCCACGTAGTCACGTACTTCCATTGGTTCTTCGGATGGCAATCCAAAGACTAGGTCACAGGGCAGCCGCAGTTCCTTCCCAAATACAACGTGAGCAGGTGTTTGGCCCGTGGTGTCGTGGATAGCTGCGCGGTAGGCCAGCAGGAATAGTGGAAGGTGCTGGTCCCAATCCCTTTGGTGCTCTTCTACCACTTTCGAAAGGTGTTGCTCCATAGTCCGATTGAACCTTTCCACCATGCCGTCGGACTGTGGGTGTAGTGGCGTTGTCCTTGTCTTACGTATTCCCAGTAGCTGCATCACTCTTTGGAAGACGTTGGATTCGAAATTGCGTCCCTGGTCTGAGTGAAGTTCCAAGGGGACGCCAAACCTACTGATCCAATTGTCAACCAGTACTTTCGCGACCGTGACGGCTTCCTGATTTGGAATGGCATAGGCATCTGGCCACTTGCTGAAGTAGTCGCTAGCCACCAGGATAAACTTGTTGCCGTCGTTTGTTACAGGGAACGGACCGGCCACATCGATGGCGATTCTTTCGAAAGGTGCCCCAACATTATATTTCTTCATCTTTCCCCTCGCCCTGGTATGAGGACCTTGGCTGGCCGCACACGTCGTACATTTGCGACACCAACTTTCGACATCGTCACGATGACCTACCCAATAAAACCTCTCCCGGATTTTCGACAAAGTTTTGTTCACTCCGAAGTGGGCTCCAGATGTTCCGGCATGAACTTCCTCTAAGACCTTGGAAACCTTTACCTTGGGGAGGACCAGCATCGTCTTAGAGGTACGCCCATCAGGACTCTCCCACTTTCGCTTCAAGAGCCCATTTTCCATGACCAAGGAATCCCATTGGGCCCATAATGCCTTCAAACTGGGGGATTGGTCGGACAATTCTGCCCAGCCGGGTCGTTCGACTCCTTCCTCCTTCCACTTTAGTATTGGTCCGATTATGTCGTCTGCTTCTTGCTCACGCTTTAACCGCGCCGTTGTCCATTCTTCATCTTGCTCAAAAATCGTCCGACGAACGGGCAGGTTCCCTTCTTCCGCGTCGATCCTGTCGCAGTGCTTGCACTCTCCACACGGACGCCTTGACAAAGCGTCAGCGTTGTTGTGAAGTCGACCCGCTCGGTGTTTGATCCTAAAGTGGTACTGCTGTAGTCGTTCCAGCCAACGCGCTACTTGGCCCTCGGGATTCTTTATCCGCAGTAGCCACGAGAGGGCAGCGTGGTCGGTCCTGATCAGAAACTCCTGTCCGTATAGATACTTGTGGAAGTGGTTGACGGCTTTGACAATGGCTAGTAGTTCCTTCCTTGTGGCACAGTAATTTCTCTCTGGTTTGGAATGTAATTTGCTAAAATATTCGATAACCCTTTCCTCCCCATCTTGTATCTGCGACAATACGGCCCCAATTCCCGAGTTACTCGCATCGGTATCGAGGACGAACATTCCTTTGTCCCTGGGGTAAGCCAAAATGGGGCTGGTGCACAAAGCCGTCTTCAGTCTCTTAAAGGCCATCTCACATGTACTGCTCCACTTGAAAGTCGCCTTCTGCTCCGTCAGTTGGTGTAACGGTGCTGCGATGTCGGCATACCCTTCTACAAATCGTCGGTAATATGTGCAGAGTCCCAAGAAGCTTCGTAGTTCATGCTTGTCTCTTGGTATGGGCCAATCCCGGATAGCAAGAACTTTCGTCGGGTTGGTTTCTATTCCTTTCTCCGACACGATATGGCCCAGGAATTCGACTCTTTTCTGGAAGAGCGAGCATTTCTTGGGATTTAGTTTCAAACGAGCCTTTTCCATTCGTTCTAGCACCTCCTCGAGATTCTTCAGGTGGTCGTCAAACGTTTTGCCCATAATCATGACGTCGTCGAGGTATACCAGACAGGTCTTCCATGTCAGTCCTTTTAGCACCATCTCCATCAGCCGCTCGAATGTTGCTGGCGCATTACATAACCCGAAGGGCATAACGGTGAAGTGATAGAGGCCACTTCCGGTGGAGAACGCAGTCTTTTCTTTGTCGTCCGGGTGCAAGCCTACTTGCCAGTAGCCACTCTTCAAGTCCAAGGTCGAAAACCACGCCGAGCCGGATAAGGTCGTCAAGGTATCGTCTATTCGAGGAAGGGGGTAACTGTCTTTCTTCGTGACGTCGTTCAGTTTCCTGTAATCGACGCAAAATCGGGTAGTCCCGTCCTTCTTGGTAACCAAGACTACTGGAGATGACCACGCGCTGTTGGATTCTTCGATTACCCCATCTCTCAACATGTTGTCCACGAGTCTTGTAGCTTCTTCTTGTTTGGCTAGAGGTAGTCTTCGAGGAGCCTGACGGATCGGTTGCGTGTCACCAGTGTTTATTCGGTGTTCTACGATGTTGGTCTTCCCGAATGGTTCCTCCTCTGAGGCGAAGACATTACGGTGCCTACGAATGAGTCCTTTGGCCAGTTTTCTCTCACGAGCAGACAGCTGGTCCCAGTTGATCTCCAAGCCTTTGGTATCCCCGTCCTTAGACTCATTCTCAACGTCTTCTTCCTCGCAGTTCAACACTCGGGCGACTGGCTCACACATTCCAATAATCTCCCCTTTACTAATATTGACTGCATTGGGAAACACGTTTGCCACACGTATGGTGATGAAAGTCTAATTCCGTTATTCCACTCTTACCGCGGGAGAGAATTTTCTCGAAAGTTCACTTTGTTCCGGTCTCCCCTAGTAGCACCAACCAAATTCGAATCCCGATTTATTTCACAATTAATCCCACTTCTGACACCAGTGTTACGATTGACGGACGAATAATAAATCGGGTGTTGGTAAAACTCAAAAAATTTATTTCTTCAGGTCGAATTACAACACTATCTATTGCGACGAATATGTACAGAAATTATTCCGGCGCTCTCGACTGTCTTCACTGGATGAATGAATCCATTACCTACGGTCGCCTCTATTTAAACCCATAGTCTCTGATCGAGATCCTTCACGAACATCCATCGCGACTCCGCTTCGAGACTCCCCTGGACGCCGCTTCGAGACGCTCCAGACCTGTCTTTATGCGCCCGCCTCTCGGCCGTCAACAGCGATGATTCACCCATCAGCGCCGTGCGTACGTCCAGAAGGCTCTCGACCGCCATAGGCGTCGTACTGGGGCGGCGTAAGGGTGTATTTCGTAACAAATTCTTTATCGAAGGCGTTCAAAAACCATCATATGCAACCATTAACGGAAAATAAAGGTCTAAATTATCAAGGCTGTAGATTTTTACCTGTAAATACATATTAATAAATAGGAAATAATAGTTATATTACAATTTAATTTATTTAAATTTGCATCCACAGGGTCCAATTCATAAAAAGTGACGTTATTTTAGACACCACAATTATTCAGAGCTTTTAAGGTAAGAAAAAGTCGTGAAACGACAGAGTACCACTTTTTTGAAATTGATGTAGGAAACTAATCAAAAATGGTTAAGTTGATTATCATCAAACATAGTTAAGAACCATCCTGATTAAAGCAGCTTTGAAATATAAACACATACATCCCTCTTTTTGTAAACGAAGGTGGCGAAAGCATATACCTTGCTTATTTTTTCGAAAGGGTAAAAATGTAAAACTGTTAAACACTTGTTCAGAACATTTCATGTTGAAACTTTACAGATACCTAATCGATAAAGAGATTTATATTACGGATTTCTGACTCAACCACATTTATGCCAAGTCTATAAGACACCATTATAAGAAGTGTGGTGTTCAATGAGGATCGATGAGCACCTAAATGGCAGATATTTAATGATAAAGTTAATTTTAATGCAATTTGTTTGAATAATAAATAGTGTTTTCAAATTCTAGGGTGTAGCAGACTAGATGAATTGCATAATATGAACATCAAAAATATGGAACAGATTATTGACTGCACAACAACAGAGAATAAAGATATCGTTGAAAAATAATATACAGGGTGAGTATTATAATAACGGGACCCTGACCAATTTTGAATGCAACACAACATATATCTATCAGTTATTGGTAGATTCCAAAATACACTTATACGTTTGTAGTAATAAATAAATTGAACCATTGAATATGACTTTCATATGAGATATGCATTTTGTGTTGCATTGAAATTTGGTTAGGGTCCCGTTATGATAGTACTCACCCTGTATATTATAATAGCTTCCTTTATGTCTAAAAATGGCTTATGAACGAATTGTTTGTTGAAATTATAATTAGAAATTGCAACAGATAATTTGTAAATAGCGATTATTGATAGAGATATTTTGTTTGGCATGTTCTACAAAAGCCACCAATAATACTTACTTCAGTCTTACCTTTTAATGCAGTAAGTTTTACAATTTACGCATATTTCAGAGCTTCTGGTTGTCGTTCCAATGTTGCCTTGATGTAAAGGGAATTAAAGTGGTATACCTCATGTACTCCATTCTTTAAGGCGTGTTTACTTTTCTCTCAATATAAAACTCCCGATCTGAAAATAAATTTTGTCAATCGTATTTCTCTTTAGTTAAAATATTTACCATGTTATTCTGCAGCAGGCGTTTTTTTTGCTATGAGATTTCAGTAACGATATTACATTTTGATGACCGTTTTGGACAGCAAGATGTAAAGGAGTTTCGTTGTTGGTGGTGTAAACTGCGATTTTAGCTCCAGCTTTCAGCAACAGAGTCGCAACTATATCATGTCCATTTTCACACGCTGTGTGTAGTGGTGTTTTGTTTCTTATATCTTTGGTGTTGACGTCAGCTCGAGACTTGATCAGTAACTCGACAATCCTGTGGTCGCCAAATGCACACGCCGGATGTAACGGTGTACAGCCGTCAAAATCCTCTACGTTAACGTCTTGAATATCGATGTCTTTTAACCATGCGAGTAACAGTCGGACAATCTTTTCTCTTCCATACTGACACGCAACATGAAGCGCAGTTTTTCCATCTTCAGCTTTAATCGAAATATTTGCTTCATTTTTAACCAATAGGTCACAAATTGCCTCGTGTCCGTATTGACACGCCCAGTAAAATGAAGTTTTTGTTTCGTGATCGACAGCATTAACGTCAATATGTTTGCTCAGTTTTAATAACGTTCGGCACACGTCTGCGTTTCCATTCATGCTTGTTAGATGCAGGCAGGTCCAACCCACGTCATTGGATGCATTTATATCGGCTTTCCGAGATACCAAAAGCTCAATGATGTCTGTGTGTCCTTTTTCACAAGCAAGGTGTAGCGGTGTACATTTTGCTGCGTCGTAACTGTCAATATCTGCTCCCGAAAATAGGAGCAACCAGGCAATATTGTGATGGTTGTTTTCGCAAGCTACATGGAGAGGTGTTCTTCCGGTGTTGGATAATGCGTTAATATCAGTTCTTGAGTCTAGGAGCAAACGAACAATTTTGTCATGTCCGTCTAGACATGCGATGTGCAGTGCGGTCCAGCCATCCGTTTTAGTCTTAGAATTGACGGATGCGCCAAGAGAAATTAATATGGTGGCAGTTTTTACATGTCCTCCGTGACACGCATAATGAAGAGGTGTCCAACCGTCGATATTAGTGGCGTTGATGTTATTTTCGGATGTTATCATACGAACTATTTTTGCGTGTCCGTTATAACAAGCGACGTGAATTGGCTTGATGTTCTTATTGTCACCGATGTTAAAATCAGCTTTTAACTGAAGTAGGACTTTCACAGTTTCGTAGTTGCCAAGCTGACAAGCTAAATGGAAAGCCGTTTTGTGCTGGTTCGTAACGGCATTCACGTCAGCTCCATTTTGGCTTAGAATCAAAACCACGCTTTCTTGATTTCTTAAGCAACTTAAATGAAAAGGTGTCAGACCTTTGTTGTCCGTCGCGTTAATTTGACAACCGTGTTTCAGGAGCACTTTGACTGTTCTGTCGTTACCAGTTTGGCTTGCGAAATGGATGGCTCTTTGTCCGTCATTTGCTTGAGCTTCTCTGTTTGCTCCTTTTTTGAGCAAAAGACGCACGATTTTGACGTGACCTTTGTACGAAGCAAGATGAAGAGGAGTCCAACCTTCGACATCGGGGACATTTACATGAGCACCGATGTTAATTAGTAACTTGACGACTGCATAACTTCCGTGATTAGTGGCAAAGTGCAATGGTGTCCACCCTTCATCGGCAGCAATGTTAATCATCGGCGAATATTGACACAGTAATTGCACAATTCGGAATTGTCCTTTCTCGCAAGCATAATGTAATGCAGTTCTTCCATTTCTCATTTTGCGATTTAAGTCTGCTTGATTACGTAGCAACACCTCGACTGTACTTTCATGTCCGTACCAGCAAGCAGAATGCAGCGGCGTCAAATCGAGGTCTTTAGGACTGTTAACATGTCTATGAACGTTAACGCTGTCAGCGGGGATGCCATCCCAACTCAGAAGGAGCTCGACAATTTCGTGGTGGCCGTTGATACATGCTAAGTGGAGGGGTGTCCATCCTCTGTCGTTAGGTAGATCGGCAACTGCTTCTTTCGCTAGTAGTATGTCGACAACTCTTATATGACCATTGTAACAAGCCCAATGAAGTGGGGTCCAGTGTTTCTTGTCTTTGACGTTAAAATCTGCTCCAGTCTTAATAAGCCACAGAACAATATCTTCGTAACCAAACTGACAAGCATAGTGCAGAGGCGTGCGACCATCACAACACGTAGAATTTATGTCAGCACTACAGCTTGTTAAAAATTTAACAGCTTCGGACTGTCCTTCGCAGCAAGCTCTAGAAAGAGGAGTTTGTAAATTTGCATCTGGACAGTTTACTGTTTTTCTGTACGAGGTCATTTTGAGTAATTTCAAAAATAAAGGCGGGTGACACACTGCTAAATGCAAATATGTAGAACCGTCGCTAGTTTTTATATAAGGAAAAACTTTATACAAGTCGATTACCTCCATGTAACCAAACTTTACTGAGTAGTATAAAACGCTGGCCATACTCAGATCGTCACAAAATTTCGAGAACTTAAGATTGTGCTTTTGTAGAATGAGTGTTTTTGCGAATAAACTTTTCGTTGTTTCGGCGTAAGTGAGTGATGTATATTTAAACAAGTCGTCTTTCTCTGATGGACTACATATATTTAGTAGATAGCGTAACATGTCTGCATATTTCGGGTCTTCTTCTACAACCGAGTAGCTGTCGTGATTAGAAATGTCTATCGTGTAGATTTCGTTGTTATTGTGAACTTGAAAAGCTGGATACTCTTGCCCCCATGAACATGCTATATGCAAAACACTGCGTTCGCCCAAATCTCTAAGATCTTTCAACTCGTCGTTGTAACTTTTCAACACATTAATGTTTTTGTAAAGAACTGCAACATGAGCTGGAGAATTCTTTGCTAGAAGCAAATCAAAGAAAAATCTTATATTTCGATTCGTACTTTCAAATAACACATCTCGAAAAGTATCAGCTGAGTTGTTCGATTCGTACTTTTTCACAAAATATGTAGCCACGAAATATTCAGCGAAAGACTTGTGAATAAAGTATGGGATAGTTTCGACTGTTACTTCTGTGATAATTCCAACCGGGTCGTGTTCTTGTTTAATTTTTTCCAAAAATTCCTTACATTCGTTTGTTTCCTTCTGTATTGATGGAACCAAAGTTTTTAAAGCTGCCTTTTGATACTTTTTAATCCTGGCATTTTTATGATCTTGTTTATGTTCTTCGCGGTAGTGTATCTGTTGGGGATAATCTTTAAAATACAGTTTCTTGTAATATATATCAAACTTTTCGTCTAGAAAATATTGATATAAATCGATTATGTTGAAAATATCTTCCGAACAATTGGAATATTTGTCTGGATTTTTAAGAAATAACTCCGTAAGCATAAAAATTTGGAGAGGAATCCCTAAAATTTCGTGGTGTATGATTAGCTTTTTAATTTTTTGAATCGTATTTTTTATGCTTTCTTCTGTGTGGTTGGCGTTTTTCATGCGTTCTTCTATATAAGCAGATTGTTGTTCTTCGCTAAACTGGATGATTGTCTTAGAAAAAACGTTAAATTTGTGTTCTAAGTAGTTTTTCAGATGCAACCTACAAGTCAACCATTGGCAAACGTTCTTCTTATACAGATATAGAATAATGTCAGTAATAACTTGGATATTAGGAGCTGAAAGTTCATCCAGTCCATCCCATATGTAAATAACATTATTCCTTCGCATCAACATTAACAAAATCTTTTTTTCGAATTTCTTCATATTTTTGAACTTTTCATGCAAGATGTATTCTTCTAACATATAAGACGTAGTGCTGTATTTGTTTTTAAAATCTAAGTACGCAGAAATGTCCTCCGTGTAGAAAATAATCGTTAAATAGTTGGCAGAAAATTTGTTTTTTAAACTTCTCATCAGCACCGATTTTCCCATTCCTGGTTCTCCGACTATCAAATTGATTTTGTTCTCGATGAAACACAATTCGTTTTCTTTCACACAATCTCCTTCTGTGCGAAATGGTTCTAGTTCGTCAACATCGCTTAAGCTACGTATCCATTGCAATTTTCCGTCACAGTTGAGACGAAGGTGATGTCGTTTCGTAACGCTGTTTGCTTTGCAAATGGTTTTGAATGTTTCTTTGGTACAGACGCCTTCTGTAACATGCAGGTCTGGTTTGAACGCTGAATTTGTCATTTCAACATTTCTGTCGATTTTGGTGACGATAGTCGAGTGAGGCCGTTTTTGCAAAGATCCCTCGACCTCTATCAAGTTAAAGTTGCGGAGCCATTCGTAAGTTTGATAATCCTTCGGTAGACAGTCAATAACTACAATAGTGTCCTTGTCGATTTTTTTTAAATATTCAAAGTCAATAATATTTACTGTGAGAAATCTATTAATATACGGAAAATCAAAAGATTCCTGCTTTCCTCCAACGAAAAAAGTGTTTTCTAACATTTGTACTAGGTCATCTGTTACTATAACTTTGCGAAAGTCTTCATTTTTTTCAGTCAGGGATTGCAGCGGCAGTTCTTCTTTTTCTTGAAGTGAATATTCAAAAGCAGTTGTAATGTTTTGGTAATGTATCTCGGATTTAAAAAATAAGTCGGATAAGTTTTGGAAGACTAAACGACCACTTATTTGATCTTCTATGTGATTTCCAAGCAGAACGAATTTTTCTTGATGACACAGTTGGATTATTTCGTAGGTAGATGCACTCGCAGATACAATTAGTGGGCAAATGTTCAACAGCCACAGCAATTGGCTACAGCTTTTGTCACTTAAGTCACCCAGATCTTTAATATGGTTAAGCTCGAGATGATACGCAGTTCTCATGTCATTAATATCCTTCAATTTATTTTCAAGTTCGCATTTTTTGTCACCCCAGATCTGACAAACTAAAGGTTCCGATTCTTTTTCAAAAATGGTAACATCAAATTCAGAAATTGCGTCTTGAAGCATTTTGACTTTTTCATTGACTGGTTTGAAACAAAGTGGCTTAATCAGGTGAGACAGCACGCAAAACGTTATTACTCTTTTCATCTGACTTTTATTCAGCTTCGCTTTTTTACCCTGAAGCTTGGTCCAGTTTGATATGAACTGTAGATAACGATCGAACGCAGAATCGCTACAAGAAAAGGCTTCTTGAAATCGAGCGGACAAGCTTTGTTTCATTTGGAACGCATTCGCTTGGTTGGTGTACAAACAGAAGTTTTGAAAAAAATCTTTATATTCTTGTTGCTCTTTTGAAAGTGGTACGGAAACCGTACTTTGGACGTTTGTAAATTTGTAGCAGGTGCCAGCAGCTCTGGAACTATTGACGAATTCATCAACCACTGGCATTTTTGATAGTCGTGTAGTAAACCGTTGCTTCTCAAAACTGATTTTGGTCCCATCTCGATTATTGAATTTGCGGTTTGTGAATAATATTAATTTGTGACGATGACCTAGTTCGCAAATTTTTTTGTAAGATTGAAAGTACTTGACAATTGCGAAATTTCCGGTGTCTTGCGCCAAACTTATCGGATTTAATGCTTTGTGGTCATTGTTTGCATGTTTCAACTGGATCGCATATTTCTGGTTAATTTCTTTGCCAACAGCTTCGAAAACTATATCATCGAAACTCCCGAACTCGCTATCGTCTGTTGACAATGTAAAGTCTTTGATGTCTTCATGGGTTACAGCTTTGAAGATTATGTTTGCTACGTTTAGTTCTTCATATTCTTTCCCCAAGTCTGTAGTTCCCGGTCGTTTAACAAAACTCTGAAAACATAACACTAATGTAAGTGATGTTTGTATGGTTATTTGAGTGGTTTGGTAGTGATCGGTTCAGTCCCACAGAAATTCATTTAGATAATGATTTTAAAAAGTTTTCGATTGAAAATTGACTTGGAAAATAATTTTTGTGTAATTAGCATAAAACTCCATTTTTTCAAAGAAATGAAATAATTTTACAGAAACTGCATGCTGTTAATTTTGTAGTTTCTAAATTGTATTTTTGGTGAAAATTCATAATCCAGATTGCCTAATTTCCTCTTTTTCAAAGTGTCCCAATACCGCAAACATTAGTTTATTTAAAAAAATTGTTGATTTAAAGTAGCTTGGAATATATCCAGCTAACCAACGTCTATACGTCTGTATGAAACAGAAAATTTCTCAATTTGGCGGGAAATTTCTCCTTACCGCAAAGAGATTAAAATCATTAAAGATGCAGCCAGATGTAACGGTTTCGAAACTGAAACAGCTGATAAAGTAATTAATAAGTTTAAATTTAGAAAGCATTAGCATTAAAGCAGTTTGTGTGCATGTTGTCTCATTTTCCAGCGCATTGTGTATTATTATTATTATTATTATTATTAATATTATTATTTAAACCCCCCCACCACCACTAACCTAAAAGTGACCGGCATTCAGGCAAGACTTCTATCATTACGTGTACCAGGATATCATCCTTTCCAAAACTGTATTATCAAGAACATGCCATAATTATACAGAATTTGTTTATTTTTGTATAGGGGTATAATTTAACAAAATGTTATGCAGATAAAACTGTTCTTTCACTTCATGACCAAACTGTGGACTCACATGAAATGCTTTTATCTCATTTGCACTGTAAATAAATAAGTATTAACTGACTGAGAATATTGTTGCTCTGAACAAAGTCAAGAAAGTGTTATCTTTACAAAAATGTGTCATAATACTCGTATGGAAAAATGAATCAAAACACAAAGTTACGTCAAATTAAAGTACGCAAATACATAATGGACATAAATCCCGTTCTACGTATTCTACGTCATAGAATCAGTTTAATGACAAGGATTACTAGCTGAAATAACTATCTGTCTAAGATCTGTATCTTAATCCTTATCAATCACAATTCAAAAGTTGGCTGAGAGAATTTGAGGTCAAACTTCCAGTGTACAATATATGCAATGTATAGCGTGTCTTTAAATAAAAAACCCAGCCCCACAGAAATCTCTATTGTACAAGTATCTTTAAAAAATTGCCACACAAAGTGATACTCGAAAAAATAAGAGAGGTAGCTTTTTTTTAAACACACGGTGTATACTACATATATGTAAACAGTAATAGATCATACTATTTCTAGGAACATAATTTTGTTTATTTGTAGATCAAGTGATCATTTAAATTTGGACGTTTTTAGTACTAAATAAAACAAAAATGACTGACTGACAAAAATAGAAAAAGAGCTGTGAATTTTGCCTTTTTCCTGAAACCGTTTACCTGCATTTGTAAACTGTTGTATGCAATTATAACATTTGACTAAGTCAAAAGTAAACTAAATCAGTGTAAGCAATAAAAGACGTCAGAAGAACTGATGAATGAATGTCATGAATGTTGCTGCGAGAATAGTAAAAAATGAACAAAGACGGCCATGGATTTTTGAAGATACGTCTTTGATACAATTTTCGTCTTGTTAGACTAAGTTCAATATTTTTTTATTATACGAATTTATAATGCGAGTACATTTTTACCAGTTATCGCTAGAAATGAATGTTTTTAATAACATGTTAGTCCTTAAGTGAGATAAGGATGTTTTCGTTAATGTTTCTGATATATCTAATACGTTTGATAAGAAGTTATGCATATTGGTTTCATTACTAATCAGTAATCAGGTTATGAATTAAAAAAAAAAAAAATCAGTTGCGATGACTATTGATAATATCAGATAATATGTACCAGGCAGCCTCTTTTCAACTTTAGGTGTGTGTATGTGTTTCATATTTTGTCTAATAGAAATAGATAATATGTATGTTCCTCCCTTAGACATTTAGCGTTACAAAAATACTATGGATTCTCACCTGCTAGGATAACTCTCTATTACAAAAATGTATTCTAATTCTAACTATTTTATCGTATTGTCTGTGCGCTTAAAACATATTTAATGGAAGATCTTTTAACAAAGAAATATTTTTGTTATAAGTATCTCTCAATATCAGTCGATAAGCGTGAATAAACAATAGGTACTTTTAGGAAGAATCGTCAACGATTTGCGATTTCCTGTCAAAATTAGCTTATGACTCAGACAAAGTCTTCGGTTTTTTTCATCAATGATTTAACTGTATAACTTACCTTTGAAAAACAATGTTTAATAGTGGTTTATATACTAGTAAATAAATTAGACAAGATAGGTAGAAATTATTATGACTCTGTACTTGTAATTTATCATTCCATTCATATTTTTGGATTTGCATATACAGGGTGACTTAAAAAATCAAGAATTGCAAAACTGAATACTTTGAAATCTTACAATCTTGCAGACGTTTTAAAGTCATTGTAAGCATGGTAAATTGTTAATCAAAATAAATCTGTTTATTTCCCCCAAAAAATTGATGACGTTATCTCAAAATTTTGCCGAATAAATGAGTTTTTACTTGTGATTCATATTTTTATTGATCGAATTAAGAACGAGTCACATCACTTTCCCGAAAATGTGAAAATACAAACGTCTTTATTTAAAATAAAAATTATAATAATGATATTCAGAACGTTTTGTCGATTAGTTAATTACTAGTTTATTATTTTGATCCTATGACCCCTCAAGGTTGAACTCATTCAAATCAAACTAATTTCTACGTGACATTCTTTCGATGTATAAACATAAACACTTTCAAGTTGTTTTTCTTGTCGAGGATAACCTAAGGACGTACAGTAATGGAGTTCATTGCTCAATTTGGTACTTTCAAATTTTCTCGATATTTCATAAGGCCGTAGCTAGGGGGAGGCTAGGGAATGCTCCTCTATATCTAGACAAGTTATATCCAAAAACCAAATAAAATGTAGTGTTTTATTCAATAAACGGAAGCCAGAGCATTAAAAAAGTCTCGGCCGTCGCATTGTCCTCCGATTAATGCAATTCGTAGAAAACATGTTTTAGTTTAGTTTGTGTTTCACCGTCACGTCTACAGGTTGACAAGTATAATGGTTAATTTATTTTTTTTAATAAGCAATCACAGAAAAAAAATGACAAAGATGTCAAATAATAACTTTTGAATAAATTAAAAAAATAAATTGTATTTTTATAAGTCGGTACTTACATTTGGCATGCTGAAATCACAATTACTTCAAAGTTTCTTTTCACATCACTTTTTGTCAAGTTGATTGTGAAACTTAGTACATACAATTCAACACTATAATTTTGTTTGTGCAAAGTCGTTGAGATTCTTTATAAAAATTAGGACAACAATGGCAACTTACAATTAATATGTGATTGACTCAATTAGATTAGAACTGAGATAAAATATTGCCAAATATCCTCAATTACGTTTTAAATTATTATTTGGTGCACACACTTCATGATGCATTTTAATGATTCTAGACTAATAGTGTTTGTTTGTTTATTAGACCCATCGTCTGCTCTGATCTTTTACAAGAGATTTAATAAAGAAAATTGCATATGACGACATAGTTCAAAAATTGGCGACAAAAAAATGTTAATTTGAAAAGAACAAAATTCAGTTAATGATAGTGTGGAAAATATGGCGTATAAAATTTCAGTGAGTATTTGTGTGGCAATAAACTCACATTAGCCATCGATTATAGACCGCCGAAATACACCCTCTAATATTAATAGTTATTTAAGTAACTAATTGTGTAGTGACAGCGATTAACGATCGAGTCATTTTAATTACATGAGCGAACGAAGGGAGCCAGTGGAATTAAAAATTGCCGAGATCGTTAGTCGTCATTACACTACGTGCTAGTTACTATATTTTTTCGATGAACGAAGTTTTTAAAATTTAGAAAATTATTTAAAAGATTGAACTATGCAACCAAATATACACTTTATGTCATTTTAATTTAATTTTCCCATGGCAAAGTCAAAATGTGAGAGATTATGATCAAAAGACTAAGTAAGGAAGAAAATTCAGCAACTTTTATTGAAACAAATACAACTTCTTATCATATAACTCATTAATAATTGAACCATATTACCCCATTTTGTATGGAGTTGTCAATGTAGCCCTCTGCTACAGTTGTCGACTTCCAGCCGCCATGAGACTTAATTTCTGCGAAATCAGCACCACCATCAAATAGTATTGACGCAGACGACCGCCGAAAACAATGTCCAGTGTATGAACGGGGTTGGTCTAATTTTAAAAATGTTGCTATTTGGCAAGGCATTTTCGAAAAAGTGTTGATTCCAATTGGCTGTGTTGAACATCTATTGTTTTTATTATTAAATTTAGCATAGTCTTTTCTTGATTTTCTACTATTGTAAATATTCTCTAAGTTTTTGTTTTAGTTGACTTAATGGTCACTAGAAATTTTGAACCCATGTCTTGAACATCTGTTTTTTCGAGTTTTAAAAGTTCGTCTTAATGCTCCAGCTACTCCAAAAATTAGTGCAACCTGTAAAGTTCTATGCTATTTTTTGTTTGGTTGACCATTATTTGCTTACCTTTATCGTTAAGAAGAGGCTGTTCTGATACGAATTTTTGGATGTGCTTTTTTTCTAATAATTTAGATTTTTTGGGAACGTGATTCTCAGTTTTCCTTTTGAGAAACATATTTAATTTAAGGAACCTACTGATATCTACATTTTGCTTTAGATTCAGAGTTGACTTTAACATAGAATATTTGGGCCATAGGCTGCTCATTAAACTTTTTTGTGCTAGTTTAAAAAAATACGCTATCTTCTTCAGTGTAGACCGCCGTGACGTTCTTTTCGTGGCACCTATTAATGAATTCATTGTATGTTTTTTCATACAGTGATTTTAGTATGTCTGGAGGAATTTCGCTTTCGATATTCATTATGCGTTACAATTTTCTTAAAAAAAATTTTTGACGTGACTGTCAAATTAGCCGTCTCGCTTATCGCAGGATTTAATAACTGTATATTTGGTTGCATAGACTTGAGCAGATATCCTCCCTGTGGTTTACCCCAGTGATGGTCAGAGAAAGGAAAAGATAAAACATTTCACACCAAAAGTTTTGAAAACGACTTTTTGTTGTTTTGAGTTTGGATCAACGAGAATTACTGTAATTCGCACTTGAAAAACGTTAAAACAATAAAAACGACGACTTTAGATGACAGGTTACAAATGACATTAGACATTAATGTGACAAGTGAGAACTGTCATAATGAGGCATAATTTCAGCGAAGCGGGATTTTTGAAATCTATGCTCTTACCATTTATGTCAAAAAAATCCGCAACTGACGTAAATAACTCCAGAGAACCACATTTTAGTACCGTTGTTGTGGTACCGAACACAGGTCTTTGGTAAACTTTGGTTTCGGACGCCTTAGTATCCAGTGTGGCAAAATTTTCCACAAGAAGGTGCTGATTAACATTCAAATCAAACAATTATAAATCTTTATTTAATAAATTTATTACGGGTAGATTTTAGATGGGACGTAGGATTTTTTTATTAACAGATCAACCTGATCTTATTTCAGATAATGCTAACATGGAAACTTCCTTTCTGGGAACAGTAGTAATCTTAGCTTAATTTTATCGCTAAGAACGCAAAATACATATATATTTCAAAAAAATTACGATGAATTTGTGGAATAGTTCCTAACACTACAAAATGCGCTGAAATTCCTACGCCGTCGCTGTCTCTGTTACAAATGTAAAACTACTGAAGTTCTATTACTGAGCTTGCCTTTTTTTCTTAATATATATGTGTAGGCATCTTTTCACAACAAGACACTTAAAACATTTTTAAAATGATAAATTTGTAAGGGAAATATCGGTTTTGCAATTATGCTCCACCCCTCGGTTTACGACGAATAAAAAAAATCATCAGAATTGAGATAGGGCGGGTGGGCGGGGCTTATATTTTGCCGTTTTTTCAATATACATAGCCATCTTTTCACAACAAGAAACTTAGAACATGGTAAAAATGGTACATTTTTGCAAGGAAATATGGATTTTGCAATTATGGGTCGGAGCCTAATTGCAAAATCGATAGTTCTTTATACAAATTTTCCATTTTAAACATGTTTTATGTTTTATGTTGTGAAAATAAGTCTACACATATTGAAACAAAAAGGCAAAATCTAAGCCCGCCCACCCGCCCTCTCTCAATTGTGATGATTTTTTTTTATTCACCGTGAATCAAGGGGGCGAAGCTTAACTGTAAAACAATTATTTCTTTAAAAGCAATTAAAAACATGTTTTTAAGTGTCGTGTTGTTCAAAGAATACTAGAGAAAATAAAAAAATCATCACAACTGATATGGGGTGGGTGGGCGGTGTTTATATTTTGCCTTTTTTTTCTTGATATACATAGTATTCTTTGAACAACACGTTACTCAAATTGCGTGAGGATTTTTTCAAGTGATTCTATGATGTTTAAGACATAAAAAAATGAAAAAATAGAAGACAGTTGTGCTTTTTTACGATATTTCGCAATTATATTTTTTTGGTTGATTGAACTGTTTTCAGAGGCTTAGAACATGAAAAAAGCAGCAGTTTGACGTATAATACATCTATGTTAATATTATTTGTCATAGAAGAAAAGAAAAAAAATAATACCTCCTCTTGAAATGGTCAATTTTCACAGTCGACTAGCCTATTGTCTAGAGTGTGAGGGGGGACCATTTTGAATATTTGTTATAATTTTTCAATTACTTATCTGTTAAATAATAAAAAGTTGTTTGTTGAAATTACGTGAAATGCTTTATTTTAGTGACAGTTGTTGCGTTAAATGTCAAAAATTTGTCCCATGCCTAATTTATGCAACCAAGTGAATGCACTGATATTATGTATTTTAAAACTGAACATACCGGATTCAATGGGTTATGTTCGGAGATAAAAAATGTCCTTGTATATACGTATATTATATAAGTATTTTTGAAGTAATATTTTCGAAGATATTTTACCAAGTAATTTTTATTTTAGAAATTTAAAAAACGCGCTGGGACAACGGATAAAGGAAAAGACTATGAACTGTACTTTCTCGCACATATGGCGCTGAAACTTACTGAAAACGATAACATAAATAATTTTCTGATATCGTCTAATAACGGAGATTTCGGCGATTTTGACGACGTTGTTTTGGAAACAGAAAATCCTAGAGAAACATATGCAATACAACTAAAACATTTACAAAACAAGAAGTGTATAACTTTAGGTGATCTTACGACGACAGGTTCAAAGGCAAATTTTGCGATAAAAAAATATTTTGAGTCGTTTAAAAAGGAATCTGCTTTGCGCAACTGCAAATTATTTTTAATGACGAATATTGACTTTGGCGTCCGAGGCACCTTTTCCATAAAAACAGACGCACAAGAGATTAACATAGAAGTTATTGAATCGGTTTGCTCTATAGACATAATTAACATATCGCAAAAAGCAAAATGCTATCAGTTTAAAATTTCCGAAAATAATGATATCCAAGATTTGACAAACGAAATGTGTGACTATAAAGCTTTCTTCAAAAATTTTTTCATCTATTCGAAACAACTCAACTTGGATGCATTACAAAAAACAATCAAGTCAGAATTTGATGAACTGCTGGTTCCTGAGATTGCAAATGACGTATTTCTGCAATATATACACTTTATTACAAAATGGAATATGATAGATAACGAAAAGGAAAAACTCGACAAAACAATGATGGCACGATTGTTGGCTCTTCAGATCGCGACTTCTTCAATTTGCCCGATATCCTTCGAAACAGTAAACATTCATTTAGAAAATGCCAACTATCTGCAGGACGCAATTTCCAAATTTCATCTGACAGTTTTTAGCAGTGATTCGTGTGAAAACGTACAAACTCTTTGGAGTAACATAAAGGATGAATTTGACAGTGAGGCTATTAATGAATTAAATGAAGAGAGGAAGAGATACCACATTAAAACAAAATATGTGAATAACATAAGCGAGCTAAATAGTACTAGTGGTGTTGAATGCGCTAAACTACTTTGGTTGATGAACAAATGTCCCTTAATTTTGAAAGAAAGTTCCTGTGCTTACAAAGCTATCAATATTTGTAAAGACCGATCGTTCGTAATGGTTGCAAAAAATTTTTCCAAGAGGGAAATAAACGGCGGCTCAGTTTTTCTACAACTATCAAATATTGAAGATGATAATGATTTGACAAATTTGAAGATGAATTTTGAATGTCGGTTCAAAAGTCAAACAATCAAGTTAGAAGAACTTACTGAAGGTCATAAAGGATTCCAGCAGTTCATAACCACAGATATATTATTGGAAATGGTTCAGGGTCCTTACGAAATTAAAGAACTGGAAGGCACTGTTCAAAATCTGCCACTAGAAACGTGGAGTAGATACATTAATAGATCATTGACTAGAACTCTCGTCGATAACAAGTATTTAGAGAACATGAGGCGCGATACCATGATTTTAATCACTTGCTTAAAGGATGAAATACTTCCTTTACTTAAGAAAATGCGTAATTTACCAGTTAATGTTAACTGCAATGACCACAATAAGTATGTTATCGTTTCTAACAAAAAATGTAAAGTTCTCAATTACAAACCCACGATATATATCAGCGATGAACAATTTTCCAGTCAAGAGTTTCAAAACATTTGTGAAGCTACAAACAACGTAAGAAACTGCCACCATTTCAAGTTAAATTACCAAGACAATAACTTGGAGTGGATTGCAACAAAAGGTGACATTTCTGCATTGCAACAATTTCGTGTTCAAAGCAATCGAGAAAAGAATATTTCAGAATCGGAACTTCCTCAGCTACATACCGCAAATAATGTGCACGTGATAGCCGACGAGCCAGGAATGGGAAAAACATACTTTTTGAAAAAATTAAAAAAAGATGTTTTAAATTTCGCAATCATAACATCATAAAGATATTTCACGCTTTTATTCTTCACGTTAAAATAAGAGTCAAATTTCATTCGAAGACTTTTTGATAAAATCGAAATTTCACCTTCGTGTAGATTTTGATAGTTATTTCCTGAAATTTTTAGCAAAAAATGGACGATTTATTTATCTGTGGGACGGCTTAGACGAAATATCAGAAGCACGTTTAAATGGAGTCATTGATGTAATTCTTACAATTTCTAAAGGTCCGTCGTTACAGTGGATAACTTGTCGAATTCATTTAGAAAAACTACTTGAAGAGAAACTTGGAGTTTTATGTAAACGAATGATTCGGCTAAGCGCTAACCAACGGCAGCAGTATATGATGAAGAGTTTAGAAAAGAAATATTCCGTAAAGAAGACTTTCGACGAAATATTAGAAAAAATCGCGTTTGCTGGACACGGGGAAATATTTGGAAATCCCTTACAGCTATTTATGGTGGCCACATTACTCGAAAATAACTACGATAAATACATCACGATGTTGGACCATTTTAAAATCATTACCAATCTCTATCGATATTTTGTTGACGAGAAATTTAATTTATATAATCAAGAAAAAGCCGAATTGACAATTTTAAACAATCCTTTTCAGTATCAAATTTTACAAGATGGCAAAAAAGCTAGAACCAAAGATTATCAAGCTGCAGCTCTTAAGATCCTTTTAGATGAAACTATGTTCAATCAGCTTAATCTCAACTGCGATGATTTTTTATTAGATGTTGCTTCAAAAGGAGACTACGCTGGTTTTATAAGCAGTGTTACAGAAAGCAACCATCCCACATTTGTACACAATTGTTACGCCGAATATTTCGCAGCTGATTATCTAGCAAGCAATCGCAAAAACGTTCCAAACTTCGAATTTATAATTTCTAACTTTAAACATGACAACGTTCGTTTGTTCTTCGACATGATATCAGCTCATAATTGTCCTGCCCACATTGCAGTCTTGTATCAAGATTTGGAAACTTTGAAGCAATACGACTATGAAGAACTGTGTAAAAAAGATGACGAAGGAAGAAATGCCCTAGAACTCGCTTGCACTTGGGGACAACGATATCCTGTTCTGCAGGTTACGAAATCAAATAAGACATACTTTGTTGAGGATTATTCAGTTTATAGTCACGAAACAAATCAGAGACTTGAAGAAATCTTAAAATATTTATTAAGCCATTTCAGGGTGAAAGATTTGCTTGAAATAAACTGCTTTTCTTATGCGGAAAAATACGAGTGCTTATTTGTTCTCGCCACGATAATTAAAACATGTAGAATGAAGTCTACTACATTAAGTGACGACACTGTTTGCAGTATTTTATACTACTGTGTAAAATATGAACGAAGAGATTTTATCAGTCTATTAGAGAAGAATCAAGATGTATTAAAGATCATTTTATCTGCAAAACAATGGCTATTTTTCGCTTGTCAAAATGGAGACGAAAAACTTGTGAGCACTTTGCTTCACTTTGGAATCGACTTGAATTGTATGGATGAAGATGGTCGGACGCCTCTATATTTAGCTGCATCTAGAGGGCACGAACATATCACACGAATTTTACTCGACAGAGGAGCCAAATTTGACACTCTCTGTCATAAAAAAAATACTTTGCTTCACGCAGCATGTCAAAGTGGTAACGAAGTACTCGTGGAGGATTTGCTCCAACGCGGACTGAACATAAACGCATGTAATTCCGACGATCTCACACCCCTTCATTTGGCATGTCTAAGTGGCTACGAAGGAGTAGTGAAGGTATTGATTAGTAACAGAGCTAACCTCAGTGCTTCTGATAAACACGGTCGCTCTGGACTTTATCTAGCCCTACTCGAGGACAAAGACAAAATTGTCACTTTGTTGATTGAATATGGAGTCGACGTCAATGCGGCAACCGAAGAAGGTAGAACAATATTACATCTAGCATCACAAAATGGTCACAACACAGTCGTCGAAAAATTGATATCTTTTGGCGCAGATCCAAATCCCATTGACAAGAACGGTTTGACACCGTTGGATCTGAGTTGTCAACAGTCACACGAACAAACAAGCGAACTACTTATTTCTCTAGGTGCAAGAATCAATCTAGTAGAAGAAAACGGCAACCCGTTGGTGAGCAATGGAGAAGATTTTGAAGACGGGATGATGAAGAAACGTGGAATTACTCTGCCAGTTTCAATGTCTGATAGTAACTTCAACGACAAGGTAAGTCATAAAACCGGTTATTGTATGTGTTCAATTGTGAGAAAAGTATCTTCTTTATTTGAAAATAATCAGTCCTTTATATTTTTCAGACGAAGATGGCTAGAAACTATGAACACATGGGCATTGCTGATGTTGTATTAGATATGATGGGTAACAATAAAATAAAAGATTTCCGTATTTCTCCGAAAAATAATGACCTTGGCATATTTGACGATATAATCATTGAAGTACGTGTCGATAACAGAAAAGAAACATCAGCAATGCATCTAGATTTCAGTGGCCAAAGTACTTTAATTTTCCAACAACTTACAAAGAAAAATAGTAACATTAGTCTCCATAAATGTTTTGATTCTTTCCAACAAATGCCAAACAGCACACAAGAATTTATATTGTTCTTCGATTGTCAGTTTATAACTACGGACAACAAAATGTTTCAACTAGAAGGTGAAGAGTTTTACATAAAGCTTAATGAGGTTCCAGTACAAGGCAGTGCGAGAATATTTCGCGATATGACCCACTGTTACAAACTGCAGGTTGTAGAACACGAACGCAATAACGAAAATTCTCCAAAAATGGAAAAATATACATCATTCTTCGAAAAGTTTTACATTTACACATGTGAAACAAATGTTGACAATCTTCAAAAATCTACAGTGGACAAATTTTCAAAAATATTTGACTGCAATGCAGACATTTTTGGGAAATTCCTCCAAATAATATCGAACTGGAATGTGAAAAAAACGGGAAAACTACAGTTGAACAAGAAATTTGTGCAACGCATAATTGCGTTGCAGCTACTCACAGCTCACATTGAGCCTATAACTGATTGTTTAGTCAGTGACAAAATGCGAATTCTTCGAAACGCCATTAGCACCTTCGACGTCACAATCTTTGAAAATAGAAGCAGCGACGTAATAAAACAATTATGGGGCGATGTGAGCAACCAAATCAATGGGGTGGAAGAACTAAATAAAATTAGAGAGACATATCAACTTTCTTCTGATTATATCGACGCTGTAGACAATTTAGATCGAAAGATTTTAGCGCAACTGCTATGGCTGATGAACAAATGCCCGTTGATCGTAAGAGACCATGAAAATGTGGCCAAAGTCGTTCAGATTTGCAGTAATGAAAAGTTTGTCGTACTTTGCGAAAAGAAAATTAGAGAGTCTATTAAAAATTGTCCGGTATTCCAGAATTTATTTGACTTAAAATTAAAACCAGAAGTCTATGAAAAAGTGATCACAAATTTTACAATCTCGTTACAAGGAAACGAAGAACTTAATTTGAAAAGTGCTTTCGTGAATAATGAAACAATTTTAAAATATGTGACAACCAACGATCTACTGGATATGTTAGACGGACCGTTATGTATAGGGAGGCAAAAGGAAACACTCTGTCACCCTCATATCGAACGGCATTTGTCACGAACTATGGTAGATATTAAATATTTAGACCATATTGACGATCAGACCATCGTTCTCTTAAATTTTGAAAGCAATGTTGATCAAGTGAATCAACTCAACAAATATAATACGATAGATATTGATGATCCGAATTTGGGTAGATCAGTTTCAGGTGTGAAGATTTATGTAAGCAGAAACAAGTGTACTGACACTGAGTTTGAAAATCTGTGCTGTAATAGATCAAAAATTAACGTTGTTCATTATTTCAAGCTTTTTAACGACGACAGCTTAGAATGGGTTCGAAGTAAAGGTGACGTTAGTGGAATTCAAAAATATAAAATATCTAACAACAACTATCAAACCGAAAACGATTTTTGCTCTTTCGACGACATTAAGAACATTAGCTTAATACCGGCGAACCCTGGAATGGGGAAAACTGAGTTAATGGCAAGCTTAAAACGCAAATGTTCTTCAAAATACTGGACAGTCACGGTTTATCCAAAAGATGTGAATTTGTTTATACAAAGTTTGGAAAAAAATTCGACATCAAACCGCATCCATTTGCTCGAAAGTTTTCTGTTAAACTAGGAACTTGTTTCTAACAGAAAATTAGACCACGAAATTTTTGAAGCTTACTTAAAACAAGGCCGCGTTCTTTACGTGTGGGACGCGCTTGATTTAATTACAACCCAATATTTAGATACTGTTTCAAATCTAATTGTTGAGCTATCTAAAAAGGGTTTCGTTCAGTTGGTTAATTGCAGACAACACATTAAAACCTACCTAGAAAAAAAGTTTGGTGTAATCTCAAGCAGCTTAATTGGATTTAATAGCCACGAGCAAGACTATTATGTCAGCCAGAGGCTTCAGCCTTCCAAATCGTCTGACGAGATCAAAAATGCAATAGATAAAATTAAGTCCATATTTGCGTTTGTGAATGCTGTTTATATTTTGGGAATTCCGGGCGAGATATTTGTGCTTGCGTAGCTATTGCTTAAAAACGATGTCATTTTTTCAAAATTGTTGAATGATTCGTTTTTAATGGCAGATCTTTATAAATACTTAATTTTAGCAAAGTTTTCTAGCAAGGATGAAGTTATTTGTGATATTAAAAATTACCACTTAGAGAACAAAATTCCAAGAAGTCGCGAAAAAACGTTGACCCATTATGAAAGGATCGCACTGAAAGCATTGTTTCCTGACGAAATTTTAGAACCACTGAAACTCGATTTTCAATTTTCTACTAAAGTAATTTATAATAACAAAACATGTCTGCTTGGACTTACAACCGAAGTACGAAAAAATGTGCCACATTTTTTTCACGTCTCTTATGCCGAATATCTGGTTGCTGCATATTTTTCTAAAAATCTTAGCGAAGCACCCAAAGAAGTTTTCTTCGATGAAAACTATACGAATATTCGTTTTTTCTTCGACACAATAATGGCACTTAACTCGCCAGCTCATATTGCCGTTTTATACAACAACTTTGAATTGATAAATACCTATGGTGACGATATTTTAACTCGGAAAGATCGCGGTGGAAGAAGTGCGCTGCATTTACTTTGCTATGTAGGTCAGGAATTTCCTCGTTCAGAAAAAAAGTACCTTGAAGCGGTGGGGAATTTATTAGAAAAGTGTAGCGTTGCAGAACAAGACGTCTTATTCAACATGAATCCGTTAGCTTATGCTCAAGAAAGAGAAAAAAGATCAAATTCTAACACTGGAAATTCCAGGAATACACCTGACGCACTTGCCTTTCTCATCGACCACGAACGAGTTGCTGCGTATTTAATAGAATGCGTAGGACAAACAAAGCTTAGTAACTTTTGTATTCGGACACCACTTTATGTGGCTGCCGAAAACGACCAAAGAAAACTTGCTAAATGTTTGATTGAATTCGGAGCCGAAATCAATCGCGTTGATGATGATGGTTGCACACCGCTTTACGCAGCTTCTTCGAAAGGTCACGAAAAAACAGTCGAATATCTAGCGAAGTGCGGAGCAGAAATCAATCGCTCTGCTAATAATGGTGTGACACCGCTTCACGCAGCTGCCTTCTACGGTCACGAAAAAACTGTCCAATGCCTAGTGAAGTGCGGAACAGAAATTAATCGCCGTGATAATAAGGGTAATACACCGCTTTACTCAGCTGCCTGGAACGGTCACGAGAAAACTGCCGAATGCCTAGTGAAGTGCGGAGCAGAAATCAATTGCACTGATAATGATGGGAGGACACCGCTTTACGCAGCTTCGGCGGACGGTCACGAAAAAACTGTCGAATGCCTAGTGAAGTGCGGAGCAGAAATCAATTGCGGTGATAAATCTGGTCGGACACCGCTTTACACAGCTTCCTTCTACGGTCACGAAAAAATAGTCGAATGCCTAGTGAAGTGCGGAGCAGAAATCAATCGCGCTAATAATGATGGTTGGACACCGCTGTTTGCAGCTTCCTTGAACGGTCACCAAAAAATTGTTGAATGCCTAGCGAAGTGCGGAGCAGAAATCAATCGCATTGATGATGTTGGTCGGACACCGCTTCACGAAGCTGCCTGGAACGGTCACGATAAAACTGTTGAATGCCTAGTGAAGTGCAGAGCAGAAATCAATCGCGCTGATAATGTTGGTTGGACACCGCTTTGCGCAGCTGCCTGGAACGGTCACGAGAAAACTGTCGAATGCCTAGTGAAGTGCGGAGCAGACATCAATCGCGCTGATGAAGAAGGTAGGACACCACTTGATGTCGCTATTATGCAGGAACACAAGAATGTAGTAGATTTTTTAGTATCAAGAAGTGCACCGAAAACCAAATAACTGTATTACTATAATGATTCGATAACAATGTCTCTTAGACACACTGGTGTAGGGAACTCAGACGTTCGTACAACGTGTTGTCTCAAATCGGTATAATTTTTTGTCAAAGCAGAAATATCTGCAATTTTAACATTCTTGTCAATGAAATTGGTCTAAGGTTATTCGGACAGAACTTCCCTCAGCCCCGCTGAGAACAAATAATAACTAGAACGATTGAGCATTCGCTTTTACAGTTTTTAAGTTGAATTGCAAAATGTTCTTATACCATTCTGACTTTTGGAACAGAAATCAAAATTAAAACTAAAGTTTTCATTTGACATAATTGGTCCCTAAGACCAGTGTTGGATTATGCCGCCGGGACACTGGGAAATTTCCCGATGGGCCCCAAAACAGTCTACTTTTTCCTAAAAATATAATAGACGCATACAAAATGATGTATGGAAATATTAAATAAGAGGATGTTTTTACTTACACAGCGTAAACTCAACACGAAACAATAGGTCTCCTGGTCGGTCTGTCTGTCTGCCGTCTGTCTGGATTTTTCAGTAGTAATTATCTGTCTATAATCTCCGAAACTACTGAACCACTTGTCATGTATATGTTGTTATGTGTATTACAATCTAATCAAAATTTTGTTAATCATCTCCACCAACAATTTATTGACGTCAACTCCAAAATTTACAGTTTAGTAAATATTGTTTAAATTTTATAAAATAAGATACTCCTGCACATGTGGTTTATCAACCCCTGTTGAGTTTTTATATTAGACATCCAGATTTTTCTTTAATTTATATTTACCAAATATACTTTCCAAAAGCATTGTTTGCTGTTTCCGACCCAATTTTCGTCTGAATGACTCGGGTTTAGGGATTGGGTTATCGGACGTTATAGACCAAATTTCTAAATTGAAAGCAGTAGAAAGTAAAATGGCACGTTTCACCCCACATTTTTTTTTTCGTCTATTTAAGCTATTTTTTTATCAGTCTTTTTCCATCTCTTTTACGGTATTTAAGCAAACAGATCGACTTTGATGTTGAAAAATTGTACTGCTTTTTTATAAAATAAAAAAATCAATATTTGTCGTGATTTTTTTTATATGTATTTTTTTTAACATTTCACATTTTTAAGGTTATTTTTTTAAAACCTGTGGATTTTTAAAGATTTTGACCGTGATTCAGCGGATCCATATAGAAACTGCTCACTTTGAAATTTTTACAAAAAAAAAATAAACAAAACACTTCAACGAAAAAATTGACCTAAAACACCTTATAATAAATTAAAAAACAAAATATGCGGTGAAACATACCATTTTACTTACTACTAATTTGAATTTGCCTCTTTTTTTTGGCATTGTATATATTTATTTTTATAGGATTGTATACTACTGGATGTGTGATTCATGAATCGTGTCGTATTTTCACCCTAGACACCCGATTTTTGAAAAAAAGAAGAAACAAAAGGGATTCTGTCAAAATAAACTTTGACCAATTTCTTTCAAGTCTGAGTCTTAATTGATAAGAATAAATATAAATACTATACGATGATTCAAACTTTGCCTATGTGATCACTAGACTAAATTATTTTTAATATGATAAATTGTAAGTATTTTTCCACTGCTCTTCCTCATAAGCTCCCTACACTTTCAACGTTTAAATAAAGGTGAGTACATATCACAGTAGAAATCCATTTTGTGTTACATAATTATGAAATTTTAGTGAAAACTTTCTGTCATGTGATCTGCTGTCCACTCTTGATGTTAAATACATATACAATAAATATGTTACCCTACGAAGTGCAAGTGATAGACAACAACTGGAGATGGCACGCGATTAGTGAGGTTTGACTTTAAAATTTAATAATTTTTAAACTGATTTTGACTCTCAATCTTTAGTTTTCTTGTTTAAAAATAAAGTTACATCAAATTTTACAACCAATTTTTCGAAGCAAGGAGTGCAATAAATCTGGATTTGATTTACAAATGATAGCACGAAAATTTCTTTCAAAATATTTTTTCACCAGCTTGAGGACATGATAAAATTGCATTTGGTTTCCTCGTACAAGAAAATATTGTCGGAGGACACACTATTTTTAAGGGTTTAAGTAAGTATCCAGAACAAAATATGTTTTATTTGAAAAATTATTATCTAATTATTAAATTATCTATAATATCTAGTTTTTTATGTTGTTTAGATAAGCAAACTTTCGACACAAGTGGGGCCATTCTACTTATTAGAAACATTTACTCATCCGCAGCTAGAAACTTCACAAAGAGGACGTACTTAAGCATGTTAGAACAATGTAAAAATCATTACTTTAGATAAATTAATTTATATTATTATTTTATTTATATTTTTCTAATGTAGTTTACTGCTGTTTTTTATTGTCCTGGAATTGGAAACTCTCCTCTCGGGCAATAAAATATATTATTATTGTTATTATTGATATTAAAAGGTAACATAGTGAATTACCATAATTATGTAAAACTAATCAAGTCTGTCTTTATTAAGTTGGCTATAAAGTACTTTAAACGTCAAAGCTATAAATGCACTAAATGTTTGCGTCTAGTATACCGTCGTAGATAAGTTTATACGGCCAAGATGATGCTTTGCTGTAAGAAACACCGTCGACCAATCGAAGAGTAGAGGGAAAATTTAAACTTTTAAATACAACATAATTAACCTAAGTCCCGCACGAGCGATTTATTTTAAAAACCATTATTTTAGCCTTATTAATATTGTAGTTAATAGTATGGAATTTACCGGTTTTAATGTGAATATTATGTTAACTATCAAGTGATATCAATATAACTGGAACCAACAAATAATATAATTTATTTTTAATAATAGAATCCTTTATATTTTATTATAAAACATGCGTCTGGTATAAAAATGTATTAAATCATTCATTAATAAATCTCTATCAACATATTTGGTAGATCATTTAGATAAATTAAGAATAGAAGTGGTTCCAAATTACTTCCCTGGGACCCTAGGGATCACCGGATGTTGCAGGACAGATTTTAGACTTATGCAGGGACAATTTTTTATCTCCGAACATAGCCCATTGAATCTGGGATGTTCAGTTTTAAAATACAAAAAGTCAACGAACATGTGCAAAGTTATGCAACCAACTTTGCACATGGCATCTTGTTTTTTGAAGCCCTTGCGCAAAGATGCAAAGCAAATGGTTGCTTTGTACCACCCTCCAAGTATGTGTTTAACATACAATTGTCAATTTTCACCAGCACTCGATGCAAAAATGAACGTTCTTCAGTGACTAGTAACACGTGAAAGGGGTTACAGTCATGATCTTTCCTGTGTCTGAGTTTGTAATTCACAGCATCAATGTAGCCTACTGCATGCCCTTGTGTGCTCGAACAGTGCACGTGTAGCTTATTTCTTAACTGTTGCTTCACACTAACGTTCTTCTCATGCTATAATCATAAATAGAACAAACCACAACAATAACAAGCTGACATGTTTGTTGACAGTTTGCAAACCGATTCATTTGTACGATAAAAGTGGTAGACGCATGACGTCCTACACAGTCCGTCACGTGTACGCATTGCTTCCTGATTTTGACTATAGATACTATTTTTTGACATTTGTTTGATCGCCGTCTTATAAGACGACGGCTCATTAAGGGACTCTTTTAGGTGGCAATGGGTGGTATGAGCAATACAGTTTACAATCTCGTTAGCAAGAAGTGAACATTGTAATAATAATAATAATAATAATAATAACAATTCCGTATTGAGTTTTTACCAGAAAAGTCCAGATTTTTGGAAAAAAATCTAAATTAAGTATACAACAACATTTTGCAATTTCATTTTGAATCTGCAAAACCGAATGCTTTGAAATCTTGCAAATGTTTTAAAGTTATGATAAGCATCATAAAAGCTCAATCAAAATATATTAAAAACTTGATGGCATCAGCTCAAAATTTTGCCGAATAAATCCTATCTAAAGTGTACAAAATATGATGAGTCTATACTTGTAATTTATCATTTCATTCATATTTTTTAGATTTGCTTATACATCAATCAGTCAATTTATTTTATTGGATAAATCAAGAATTGCAAAACTGAATACCTTTAAATTTTGCAGACGTTTTAAAGTTATTGTAAGCATGATAAATTGATAATCAAAGCATATCTGCATATTACCCCCAAAAAATTGATGATGTCATCTCAAAATTTTGTCGAATAAAATTTATTAAATCAGGAACGACTCACTCCATTTTCCCGAAAAATTTTGGGAATACAGTACTGTTATTTTTAGTATTACACTGCACCAATCCAAGTTGATACGCGTGTCCTTGTTTTTTCTGGCACTGGTAATATCCTGTGACAACTTTTCTTTTGTGCTGTCACTAGTATTATCCATGTTGATGACGTCGCCACAAATTTTTTGTTGGTCAAATTAAGAACGACTAACCCCATTTTCTCGAAAATGTCATGAATGCGCACGTTTTTATATAATGAATTATAATATTTAGAACATTTTGTTCGATTGTGGTTTAATTAATAATTTTAGTCTTCTGTTTTGAGAAGACAAACTCATTCGGGTGGCGGAAACTTTATCGAAAAACAAAATATCGAAAAGAAAATATCGCATGTAATATATCGAAAAACTAAACATCGAATTCACAAAAAATCGAAACGACAAAATATGGAAATTGTAAATATCGAATATATTAAGAGAATGGGTAATATACATTTTACAAAACTATTAATTTTTAAAAATAAAGTTTTATTACAAGTTACATGCTACATTTGTTACATAATTAATATAAATAAAATGGTTGACTACCACCTGTAATTTTTTATTTTTGTCTTGTACCCAAAATAAGAATTATAATATTCAGATCATTTTGTTCGATTGTGGTTTAATTAATAATTTAAGTCCTGTGTTTTGAGAAGACAAACTCATTCAAATGAAACCAATTTCTACGTGACATTCTTTCGATGTATAAACATAAATAGACACTTGACCGTCAGATTGCTATTACCTCGTGTTGAAGGACAAGGGTTGTTAAAAATGGATTATTTCAAGTTCAACATGGTGAGTTATCAAAATCTGACAACGGATTGTCAGTCAGTAGCGTAACATGGATACTTCAGAATGGGGTGGTTTTTAAATTTATTTCTATAAATCGCAAACAATAACACGCGAAAACATAAACTTAAGTGAGCTGATCAACACGTTAACACGAATGCTCATGAATCTATTAAGCACTAATTTAAACGGGTCCAGGTAAGTTCACTATGTCATAGTATTAGTTATTACTTTCTAATTGACTTGGAGTATTTAATTATTATCGATATATCGCTAATGCTAAAAAATAAAAATTCCCGAAAATGGAAATTCCCATACAATGTTCTCAAGAATAAAATTAGGAAAAAAATTGTGGAAAACAGTAATGCTAATTTGTGTATTTTAAAAATTATTGTCCATGTGCCCCGAGTTCTCATTGGTACCAAAATTTTGAAAGAACCCACCACATGGTACTAGATAGTTACCATGAACAGAATTATGTTAGATTGTATATAATTATAATATTTTTGTTTTTATTTTAATAAATAATTTTTAAAGTGCTAAATATTTTATTTAAGTACAATTTGAAATAAGTAGAAATGATTTCCAAGTGGGAAATTGAAGGATGGTCAGATGGTCATAAGTATAAACCTTCTGTCGTGGAGGATGCGGGCTCAGTTCTCAATTTGTGTTTGCCTTCGCAGGTAGAAGATGTGAGAAAAGGATTACACAATAAAAAAGAAGAACTTACAAAAAATAAAGCTTTTATTATAAAATTACATTGTGTACATTGTTGAAAACATGTTAGTAATGGATATTATATGGGGCTCCCATTTGTCGCAATGCGTTGTCTATCCATGTCATCTGTCTACATAATCGTATCTCTATCCAACAGTTGTAATTTGTAACCGCTGTATTCGTTCTCCAGTGGTCCACAAAAACTACTCGTATGGTTAAAATCTTCGCAAGGTCAGAGACAGCTTCGGCTCCTTCTTGTACCGCCATATCCAACAAGACATGGAATTCATCGTCATCCATGAGTTTCATGGATGTTAAATCAAACGGCTCTAACGAATGAAGAGTCTGTTTTCTACGGTTTTTAACCCTATTACGAAATCTCGACTCGATATAAACGACCGAGTCAGACAACAGTTGCATAAAAACCTGTCCATTCTCATAACGTAGATAAATTCCGTCCCCTATTTGTCTTCTCGTATTGAACACTTCGGCCCCTCGTAATTCGTTTCCAATTGCCTCCAAATTGAAACATCCTACTACTCGTCCAGGCACGGTGTTACACTTTACCTGAATCTCAGGTCGAAAACACTGAAAAGTTTCTAGCTTACGACATTTTTCGTAATACGCGACGATCGCCCATGGATGAAGAGTTGGATACCATGCGAGGCCTGAAGTTGGTCGGCTTTTCTTCAAGTAGTGTAATGGATTGAGACAAATTTCACCATGAATGGCTGAATAACAGATCCTGTCGGGTTTAAATTTTAACAACTCTCTTTTTACGTCAAGTTTACGGATGTGTGTCCATCGCCAAAGTTGTCCATAAATTCTGAGGTTGGGGTTGTCGACGAGATAAGTTATGCGCCGAGGAATGTTTATGCACGGAGTAACGTTATTTGTTGCTGGAGGGTTGTCTGAATTGATGATTTTTGAGGCAAGTTCGAGAATACGCTCCTCAACGATGGCTTTTTCGAAATCTAGACTCGTTTTCAATTGTCGAAATAGCTGGAAACCTGCGTAGATGTCGACGTTAAATTTGGCCTGAGATTCATCGGCAGACATGATGGTATCTGAAAGAATAAACAAAAGTTGTAGTTTTATTTACATAATTACGAAATGTCGGGATAAAAATTACTTTGTATTATAAGAAGCGCAAAATTAACTGTTGTCTTAAAAATAACATTGCAAAACTACACAAGACTGCACTGTTAATGTATACCTGACAAAAAAAGTGACATCCACACATCTTAGTTCGAAAGTAAAAAAATTTCAAAAGTGAAGTTTTAATAATATAAAATTTTATTACGACGACTGAATTTCTCACAAATCATTTTACGCAGTTTCAGACACGTAGCTCACAAACACCCAACCAATGTAACAGTACTTACCAGAACTTTTTCAGCAAGCAACAAACTTCAAAAGTTTCTAAGCTAGGGCACCTGTCACTTCGACTCACTATTTGTATATACAGATTAGAACGACTCTTCCTCCTTATATACCTGAGAAGACCTTTTGGTGGGGATGTAAATCTAGGAATCAATTAAGGCTCCTCTTTACAGTCATTAAAATCTGCCGAAATACGGCAAAACGCCACTATCATATCATTCTACCGGCATTGGTTTAGAAGGACGAAATTTCATGATCCATGTTGCAAATATTGTCCTGAGAAGCTAGGAAAAGTTTGGATTTTATGGTATAGTTTGGAGCAACAATTGGGTGTTGAGCCGTTCTTCCAGGTAAATTCGGGCCCTCATTACTTTTGGAAATTCCCAATATTTTTGTTCGTTACTTAAGTGTATCAATATTATGTTTTATAGTGGTCCAAGGGACGTTATCCTTTTAGTTTTTTATCGTTAGTTTGCATTTAAGGCATTTAAAGCGATACAGGTGTGTCAAGATGTCGAAGATAACTCAAATTAATTTATGGATTAAACCTTTTCCTGAACTTTTTCTCCAAGAAAGAACTGTGTTTTATCATTCCTGCTCTAAACCGTTAATAATATTTATTCACAATCGATCAGTAATGTGAAACTTTCAATTAAGTACTCTCGGGTCGTTTAGGGTATACCTCATGTTACAAAAGGCTAATGTCGGATTACAAAACAGGTAGATTTAAGAGCCACTGTAAAGTTCGACTATCGCTACTTGGAGGTGACTTCACTGAGGATTAAAGATTAGTTACCACTTGGGATAATTTATTAGGGGTCTAAGTTGTTGTAAATGTGTCCATCTAGACGGCGCTTTAAGGGTTTTTCCCAATAAGATAACCGCAAACTGCAATAAACGGTCTTACACATCTGGGTTTCTGTACCTGGGAAGGAATCAGTGGCGGACTCAAAAAATGTGTAAACTTTTTTAAACATAGTAAATAGAAGGCTGCATATTGTTTTTATTATATACAATTTAAATAATGGAAGGTCAAGATAATGTATTTTAATTCTGAATTAGATTATATATTTACAATAATTAACAATTTATTCACTCATGTAATATCAGGAAAGTCACTGTCGTCGTCTTCAGGTTCTAAATTTATAGTAAGTTCCTGAACATGCCTTGAACGGTATTCATTTTCGATCTTGATTACATGGTCTGCACAGTTGGCCCATTCCTCTTTAGACACTGTTGCAACTTGATGTTTAATGACGACAATAGTTCCGCTACAAAACTTAGGATTAGTGCTATTACGTCGAATTCTTCCCTTTAGAATACCCCATATCATTTCGATTGAGTTAAATTCGCAATGGTATGGGGGTGAACGAAGAACTTCATGCCCGTGTTTTCGTGCTTCGTCATCAATTTTGTATTTTTTTTGTGTTCTTTCGTTCGTAAAACATCCAACAGTTGTTTTTTCGTATAATTTTCTTCAAAATATAAGCCATGCTTATACAAAAATTGTACGATTTCTGCTTTGCGGGAATTGGTGGAGGGAATTTTTTCAGACTACACAGAATGATAACTGGCGTTATCTAAAACAATAATGCTCTTATTGGGTAAATTTTTCAGAAGTGTTTCGGTGAATCACTGGAAAAACACATCTCCCGACATGTCGTCGTGGTAATCAACCTTTGACTCATCAATGTGTTTCGCCGCTAAAAAGAGAGCATTGTTAACCCAGCCATCCATAACAATCCGCATGAAGGATTAGGTGTAGTTCGCTGTCCTGTAGATGATGGAACACGTAAATGGCAGTTATTTGTTTCATCCACCCAGCTTTTTTTTATTACATCGTGGGTATCGAACCATGTTTCGTCCAAATATATTATTGCCCTTTCATTGTCACGAAATGCTTTAATTTGCTGTAAGTAGTTTTAAAGCCACTTGCTTATTCCAGTGGACTCTTTTAGAAATCTTCGTTTATCCAATATTTCGTAATTGAACCCAATCATAGCTAAAAATTGTCGTAACGTTGCTTGACAAAACTGTAGCCCCGTTATCTCGGTCGTTTTTAAATGAATATATTTTAATGTCGGTACATGGTTTTCTTTAAATGATTCATAGATAACTCTTCCTATAATGTGGGCGTGTTCCTTTTCTAATAGTTTTTTTCTGACACCTTTATCACTTCTAAATTTTCTTGGTTGAATTCCTACATTTAAAATTCGCCACACTGTTCCATATGAAGTTTTGGTCAAGTCTGCAGTTTCTTTGATTAATTCATCCTCGTTGTCTTGTCTTCTTTGTTCACGTAAGGAATTGAAAACATTTAAAATATTTTTTTTTTGCTTCTGATAGCAAAAACGTGTTTTATATTTTGGACGTTCCTCTCCATTCGAACGTTTTGGTCCTCGACTACATTTTCTTCCAAAACTTGCAAGTTTTTTCGAATGGCATCACTACACCAGGGCCTCCACATCTTAGATAGATTTAAAAGAAACACTTGGACCGTTGAACCAGATTGGATTTTGAATGATTTCTGACGGGTATGCGCCTCTGCTTAGGATATCTGCCGCGTTGTTCTCAGAATTAATATGCCGCCAATCGCATCTGAGAAACCGTGAATTTCCGCCCGTACTATTGTCGGAGTTGAGATTATTTTCATGCCAGCCCAAATTTAACATCCACAACTGCTGTAGAATGATTTTCGCTTTCATTATGATGGGACCAATAAGACCTAGAGGATCAAAGATTTGAGAAGTAACGGATAAAATGACTCGCTTTGTAATTCGTTTAGGGTAGTTGTTCAGATTTAGATCGTAACTTAACGTGTCACCTAATGAATCCCAAGATAAACCTAGTACTTTAGGATGTTCGGATTTACTTAAATCAACGTCAGCTATGGTGTCATCGGGTTGTTCCGGTAAAACACTGCGTTCGTTTGAACGGAATTTTCTTAATTCGAACTGGCCCTGATTTAGAATATTAATTAGGTCGTCGCTAATTTGAATTAGTTCGGGAATAGAATTAGCACCTGCCAAAACGTCATCCATGTACAGATTATTTTTTATATATTATATGACTCGCTCTAGAATAGTTTTCAGAATTAAGTGATGCAAGTTCTGACAAACAACGCGTTGCAATAAAACTGGCAGGTTTTGTACCGTAAGTTAGCGTTAATAATTTGTAAGTTTGCAAACAATTAACTGATAATTAGCATCTTCTTCATCTATTCGAATCTGTCGGTACATCTTGGCGATGTCGGCGTTTAACGCGAATTGAAAGGTTCTAAATTCCAATATAATTGAAAATAAGTCTCGTTGGATAACTGGGCCGCACATTAAATTGTCATTCAAACTTTTACCGTTCGACGTTTTAGCAAATGCGTCAAAAACGACGCGTAATTTTGTCGTGCTACTCGATTCCTTATGAACTGCATGGTGCGGCAAATACGCAATATTATTCCCGGGGACGGATCTTACTAGCTGCATATGACCAAGCGAGAGATATTCTTTAATGGATTTCGAATAAGATGATCTTAGAGCTTCGTCTTTACTAAACTTTCTTTGGATGCCGAGAAACCGTTTAACCGCCAAATGTTTAGATTCTCCGAGATTTATTACATTGCCACGTCTAGGTAACTTAACCAGGGAGCACCCAGTGACGTCACGCGTGATTTTCATATCCTATCTCTTCGAGAGATAAAGCACATTTACCTGCACCTGCATCATAGTCCGTACCCGAACTTTCTAATTCGAAGAATTTGGTTATCCAGTTTTCTAAAGATGAGGTACCTACTTACAGCGAGATTACAAGCCATTCTATTTGCCAAAGGGTCGTTAGGTATGCCATAAATGGTATTATGCGTCCCGACCGCAATAAACCCTAATTGAGTTTTCTGTAGGATAATTCCAGTAGGTAAGATAATTTGACCGATGGATAATAATGACCAAAGCAGACTACCGCCAATAAGCATGTCTACTTTCGCACTTTCGTAGAAACGAGGATCAGCTACATTAGACCTAGTAAATAATCAGCTAATAATAAGTCTTTTTCTCATCTTTTCTCTGTCAATTTGTTCCACAACATAGTCCTCATCAAAATATTGTTAAATTAATAACACATTATTTGGATTTGTTAGGTTATGTTGCCACTAACTAGTGGATACCGCTTTAACTGACAGTCTGAACAGTAGTTATAACATCATCTACTGTTAAGACGGAGAGAAATAAATCTTGTTGAAACAGTAATTGTGCTTTCCAACACAAGCTTAATCTGGTTGTATTTAAATTTCCCTCTTCCTCACAAAATTTAAAGGCAATTTTTATGTTGATGTTTTATGGTTTAACTTTTCTTAGGAGTATTATGTTACGCACTTGATTATTTCCAGTTTCTGTGTTTTTAATTATATATTTCTACATTCAAACACAAGGCTAGACTTATGTAGTTTGCTAGTATTGAGTGGTAGCATCAGCTTTCAGTACTTTTATCAAAAATTTGCACTAAAATTAATACAATAACTAGAGATCCTTTAAATTCGTCAGTTGGTACATAGTAGAGACAGTATAAGTTGAGCAATGATGCAAATGAACACATTGTGGTAAAGTAGATTAGTGACAGGTGGCCGTTTTACTTTATCATTGTGGCACTAATCGAACAAACTTCGGTCACTAAATATTTCCACTATT